AGCTGGGGGAAAAGGGAAAGCCCAAATAAACCCCTTTTTCCCTTTAAAAAAAAAAAAAAAAAAAAAAAAAGTGCCCTTATGAATCCTGCTCTTTTTGTGGTCCAAGGTAACATTTTTGGATTTAAAAGCCTATTTTGCCAGCCTGGTCATTGCCTTCCTGCACAATTCAATTATAATCTTGCCTCACAGACAGTCTGGGCTTTCTCCCATTTTTTCGAATTAGAATTTCTACTGGGCCAATCAGCAAACATAATGAGAAGTTGTGAATGATAATGTTGATGCTCTGTGCTGTTTTGGAATCATTTTAGACCCTCTGTACAAAGCAAATAGTATAGAACAAGGGGTTGGTTTTTACCAGGCTACCATTTTGCCCCTTCAAATTGTGCCCCATATTTTTGTAATTTTGCCTATCAAGAAGACAGTTGGGCTTTTCTCACTCGTTACACCGAAAATGGAAGTTTTAACATGACAATTGTGAAAAGGTTAAATAATCTTGAATTTTAGTTGCTGCTGCCATCTATTGTTAGAATGTATGCTAGAATGTGTCCAAAAACAGATAGACTATTCTTTCACACTGGCACTGAACCTAAAACCAGTTTGATTTACCTGGTTGACATAAACCTGTAGGTTCTGTAGTTATGTATGTGTCAAATACTTTGCTGAAGTGAGTCTAATTTTAATAATAAGAATTGATCTACACCATGAATGAATAATGCAACTGCAAGATAGATATAGACAGACAAATGGTGCGCATGAGCACCCTCCGACTTTACACACCCTCTCTACTCCAGTTCCTCGCGCAGCAAGAAGCATTTTCTTTGGCCAAATCTGAGCCAATCAGCTTGGTTCTTCTTGCAAGGTTCTAACCCATCTGTGACTTTCAGCGTTCACATGTAGTTAACCTGTTTGTTTGAAAAGAATCTCAGAATGAACACCGTTTTGACGTCTATTTCCCGTCTGCGTGGATTAACCCACCTGCGTAGGTAAGTCAGTTTTCTATGACAGACAGGAGGAAGGCCGCTGTGTTTCTACGCCATGCTAAGCGCGCATGCTAACGGCTAGAGGGTCCTGTTCGCTAAAGTCCGTATTTATGCTAACGCAGAGTGGGAGGCTGCTTTTGCGAACTTCCCACTGACTCATGGTCACAGACTACAATCAAGTGACACTGAATAGAGTCATTGTTACTACTAGCTGGCAGTGTTTCCTTTTGGTTTTGCAGTTTGCTTTCGCTGCTCCATCTTCACTGCTAATGTGGACTTATTTAATGTAGAAGTGTCAATGATTCAGTTCAGTTTATTTATACACCGCAAATTCCCAGGAGCATATGGAGCAATCGGGTCTCTGATGCACGATGAAGCTTAACTATTAAAGGATTTAGATGTAAAGTTTAATTCTATTCTGGATTCAACAGGGAGCCGGTGAAGGGAAGCTAAAACGGGGAAATATGATTTCTGTTTTTAATTTTCATCAAAACTCTTGCTTCAGAATTTTGGATCAACTGAAGGAAGGGATTGACAAGGAATTCAACATATTAGTTGAAAGTGGTCTCAAAATGACAATATTAAAGTTTATCGCAATAATGTTTGGTTTATACTAGCTAAATTTGTTATCATGACAGGCCTCAGCCTACCTATGAGATGTGATAAATTCATTACAGTTTAATTGTGTTTTCATATTCAAGCTCATTAAACTTTAACTTGTGCTTCTTCTGCAGCAGCATCCCTATGCCGGATCTCTCAGCAAATGCCACGTCTCACCTCAGGTTCTTCAGCAGCTGGTTTGCGTCCGGCGCAGCTGCAAGAGCTCGGGTTTTCCGACTTCTGGGGCCCCTCTCTATGCAAGCGGAGAGCAGCGACGCGGTCCAGCAGCTCCCCTGGCTGCACCAGCAGGTGCGAACCCGCAAAAGAGGCACAGAGTACCAGCCGAGCAATATAAAACGGATAAATACTCATGGTTGGATCAAGAGGATGAGCTCGCGGGGCGGCATAGAGGTGATCCTGCGGCGTATGTTGAAGAGACGGAAATCCCTCTCTCACTGAAGGTCTTGATGGAGGATCTGAAGGACTTGGAATCTTGGGAGGTGCTCAGGATGCCACTGGAAATGTCTGTAGTTGAATAAAATGGTGATACTGGTGTGTTTTGGGGGTTATACTTTCAAAGTGACTGTTTTGACCTCTGATCAGAACCAATAACTGCTATCTTATAGTTTCACCAATTGGTCAAAACGTCCTGTTCTAAATCACACCATGTAAAATGTGTTTTAATGATGAAATATATCAAAATAAAATGATTTTGCAAAATAAGTTTTGTTATTGTGAAACCAGTGATGTTTGGAGGTATGTGTAACACCTTCTCAGTGCTCTGCCCTTCAGCTGTTAGAACTTTGTTTATTTCCCAGGAGACACCAGGAGGAACACTTTTCTCTGTAAAGTTTTAGTATAATTTGTTTGGCATTCTGTCTGTGGAAGTACAGATGCATCTTAATGAATAGAAATACCATCAAGAAACTTATTTCATTCAATTCATAAAGCAATATAGTTAAATGTTTTATAGTGATGTTTTAAAAGCATTTATTAAAGCTAGTCTTACTTTTTGTGACTTAAAACTAATGAAAACCCCAAATCCTCATGACAGTTACTGTCACCCTCTACAATGAAAAGAATCTACTTAAGGCTGCAGTGTGTTTGTTTTATAAAACATTTTTATCACATATTTGTTCAAACTGTCAACTTGTGACAGTATGATATGAGACTGATAATCTGAAAAATAATTAAGCTCCTCTGCCTTTTCCCAGCGCTAACTAGAAACAACCAATCAGAGTCAGGAGGAGGGTCTTAGCGCTATCAATCAAAATCTAATGTGGTGCTGCTTATGTCCTCTTCCATTGGTTGTCTGGGGTGGGGCAGCTTCTTCCTGGTAGTTACCCTGGTTGTCAGTGCTAAGGCTAGGTTGCATGACCTCCAATGACAGCGGATAAACCGTTTTTCTGTAAAGGCAAGTTGTTTCTCTGCCATTAGTACATTGACTTCTTCTTCTTCATTTTTTTTTTTTTTACAAAGTTACATACTGCTGCTTGAAGGTCATGGTAAAAAAGCTGGCTTTTTACAATGTTTTATCCAATCATAATAATGGAAAGTTGACTGGAAGGAAGAACTGGGGTCCAAGCAACACGACTCAGCTTTTGCTTGAATAGCATTGATGCAGTAATTTGTGCATATGGAACCCCAACTAGAGGTATGTATGGAACATATGGGGTACATGATTTTTTCCCCTCTTTTAGCAAGGTGACGTTTCTGCATTGGAAAAAAAAATCAACTTTCAATGATTTGATGTAATATTCAGAGACTTTTTATTGTTTTTTTTCAGTTGTGAGCTATTAGAATCAAAATTAGCAGAAATAAACACTTAAAGTCTGTCATTCTACTTATTCTTCCTGTTGTGACAATATTATTGACTTCAGAATAAATGTAAAAAATAATATGCATTTACTAAGAGGGTGTTTTGGAATGTGTTGATAATTTAATAAACAGATAAATACACGTCAAATTAATAAATCGACATTTTAATTTGTTTTACATTTTAATTATGGAATCTTGGTATTAATTGTATTATTTCAAGATACTTTGGATTACAAAAATCGGAAAAATAAAAATGGGAATAATACAGAATTTCAGAGCAATAGTAACTTGTTAGCTGTATTGATTATTGACAAAATAAAGAAATGCAAATACATTGTTTAATATGTCTATGGTTTGCATTGCCATAATATAACGTAGTGCTGGAAACTCCCACAGGCTCAAAGGAAAAATTACGTAATCACCGTTTTGGCCAATCATCGTATCACTCTTCAGAGCTCGTTCACATTTAAACCAATGAGATGACGTGAAGGTTAAAGAGTCACCGCCTCCGAAATGGATAAACAACAAAGATGGAGTTGTGAACTGAGAGCTACGCAGACACCTTTAGTAAATGTTTGTGGTTTTTTTCTGATAGACTTTTAAGCGTCTAAATGATAAAGCTGACGTAGTACAGTAATATTGGATGTAGTTCATGACCGTTAGTCGTCTTGAGAAGCTGTCTAAGAGGTAACAAGTCGGTTTCTAGGAAACGACTCAACAACAAAGCTTTGTTGCTAGCTCGTTTTCACTCAGCGTGCTAAGCTAGTGGATACGCGAAGACAAAAATGGAGAAGGTATGTTTACTGTTGCTTTATGTCGGCGTTTCGATACATTGTAGAAGAATAAATCATTTGTTCTATTGGGTTTCTGGCTTCTGGCCCATTAACAACAGTGTGAACTTGTGAAATAATTAGTAGTTTGTACCACTGATGTCAGGAATTATTTTTGCCACCGGGGAATTACTGCTTATGCTTTATCTGTCCTGAACCTTTGACAGAGGAACTTCCTGAAGGGGCTGCCTGTCTACAACAAAAACAGCTTCACCAGGTTCCATGCAGACTCCGTATGTAAAGCATCAGTAAGTTCTCCATTCTCACTGTTTGGATAAACAAATGTTCCTGTTTTGTCGACATGATTACTGCTCATTTCTGACTTAAACTTATTGCCAATCCTGTGCTCCAGAACCGTCGGCCGTCTGTGTATCTTCCTACACGAGAATATCCATCAGATCAGAGTAAGTTCCAAGACTTGTTCTAAACAGAACATCCTGTGCATCTTTTAATGTTTCCTGTCTGTGTTATTTCACTCAGTCATTGTGACAGAGAAGACAAACATCCTACTGCGGTATCTACATCAGCAGTGGGATAAAAAGGTAAATGAGTGGAATGATGTGATGATCTGGAAACCTGCAGGATTTTAGAAACAGAAAGTCTCAGGGTATATGAAGTCAAACAAACTCCTTGTATGCTGCAAAAAATGACCAGCTGGTCAGATTTGAATAGACTCCACAGTTTCTAGAACCTTCAACTTAGCAATTGCAGCAAATTTATTGTCATGTCATGATAATAAATTTTGCTGGTTGATAAATTGTCCCAGTAATTATTACAATAACATTGTTATTTTGAGACAATTTTCAAGTAATACATTTATAATGGCGTAACAATACAATTTTGCCCTCTCAAAAGCCAGTAACCTTTAATTTTAACGCTAGAATTGGAAGATATTTTATACATCCAAAATAAAACGTGACAAAAACAATTAAATAAAATGCAAATAAAACCCACACACACCCGAAACCATAAATACAATTGACTGTCCTTCAAAAAATAATCATCAGAATGGAATTTTATCATGGGGTTAATTGATTAATTGCTTATTGCAACAAGTTTATGAGTACATGTATATATTTGACAGATCCAACATTTTCTGGGTAAAGAAATACCACAATAAATGCCAACCTAACCTATCCACATTTCAAACTCTTTTGCTGTACATTATATTAATTTTCTATTCAGGAAAAGAGACTATGTGAAGCACGACATTCAAATTTGTATGTAAACATCTGAGCCATCATTGTTTTATCTTTGACTGCCCACGCTGAACGTCATGAGCAAACGATTCGGATTTTCTTCTAAATTTGCCAGAATTCGGGGAAGAAGCGAGAGCAGGAGCAGACAGAAGAGGATAGCGCAGCACCTCCGCGAAAGATGGCGCGAACGGATAGTGAGGAGCCCACCGAGGACTCGTAAAGAACCACACTGCTTCCTCCGTTCTCCCAGAGACTCGACTGCTTCAACAGAATCCACTCAGACATGCGGCGTGTTTGCAGACGTGGTGGTGCGGTAAACAGTGCTGATGGTTTCGAACCGCAGTTGTCCCAGCAGCCCCCCACAGTGTGACTCCAGGTTTACTCCAGCAGCTCTTTTACCTACCAAGTCTCCATGTCTCTGCTGTAGAGTGGGAGTCTTAACATGACCATACTTCTACCTCGTCTGCCCTCCATCCTGTTTTGTTCTTCTTCTCGTCCTATACAGTCTCGTTTGTACGCAGCATATGAAGTTCTAATTGTTGCAGAGCTTATGTATGCAATAATTCACGCATATGCATATGTTGCTATCATTCTGGTTCGTGCTCAATCAGGTATTTTCCACTTTCATAATTGGTAATGAAAGGAGGCATTTCAAATATGTTCTAGTTTCATCTTTAATGTTGAGTGGTTTATGATGATTTATTGATTCTGGGCTTTCTGCATTAAAAGACCTGAATGCTGAAGGAAATGAGTTGTTTCCTCAGAGAAACTAGTGATTTATTGCCTTAAATGATATGCCGCATTGGAGAAATATGAGCCAGCGTCTAGTGAAGCAGATTTCATGCTCACATCGGGGGATTCAGATCGGTTTCCAGAGGTAGATTTTGTAGCTTTCATGCACTCTGTGGTGTGAGATTTCACAACCAATGGTGTACATTTTCTAACAATAAGATTAAAATAATACTTCAATATTTTGTTAATATCTACAACTATGTTTAAGTTAACTTGTATCCATAGTAATAGTGAGACTTCCTGTGAGTCCGTGCTATAAATGTGCCAGACACACTAAAGAAGAACCCTGAAAACTGGGCCGAGTTGGGCCGAGCAGGTACCGGTGGGAAAGAGTCTTCTATAAAGAGTTCAATGAATTGAGAAACGGGTTCAGACTGAATGCTCACTTCCTGACAAGCGTTTGGATATTTGCAGTGTACATGTTGGAGTAACAGTCCTTCGAAAAAATATTCATGCTCCTTTAATTTTGGCACGCTGTCACCATAAATTACATTCATGTTTTATTGGGATTTTTGATTAAAGAGGAAAAACATTATAGTACACACAATGTAACGTGACATCTAAGGAAATAGATAAGTGTTTTCTAAATAAATCTGCAAAGTGTGAAGTGCATTTGTAATTGCAGCCTTCACTGTAATTAACAGCAGAAAGCATTACGGCTGCTAGCTTTGCCTGTGTTGTATAATAGCTCCAACTCAATGCAGTTACACTAGATGGAGATCTGTGAACATCAGTTTTCAAGTCTTACCATGAAGTCTCAACATCAAGATCTGGACTTTGACTGGGCCATTTTAAGATATGATTATGTTTTCATAACCCGTTCCGTGTTCCATGTTTTGGGGCCTGCTAGAAGACAAAGCTCCTCCCCAGTCCTCAAGTCTTCTGCAGGTTTTCTTCCCTGATTCTCGTATATTTAGTTCCATCCTTCTTCCCTGTTCCCACAGCATGATGTTCATAGTGTTCACTCTGAAACACTACTGTGTTTCAGAGTGATGTGGATTCCCGTCAACAGATTTGCTTTGGTTCTCTTCAGAATTCCAATAAATTATGTTTGTCCTTTTAATGCGACAAATGGTTTTGTATTGTATCTTGTTTCTTGAAGTAATATCTTCTTTGTTTAGCTTTGTTGTTTTTTTTAATTTAAGCTGTTGCATTTAAAGGCAGATTTTGGTCACAATGTAACAAGAACGTCCTCTGAACAGTAAAATGCATCTTTCTTTCAGAATTTTTTGTGGTGTTTGTTTATTCATTGACTGCTGCTCAGAGGTTTGGACTGAGTGTTTACCTGCTCAGGCATGATGAGTACCGATTCTAACATTTAGCATATTTGACGTGGACAGTTCTTTCAACCTCTCAGTAGAACAGTTGCAGCTCTCACATGACGAGTTTGGAATGTGTCTGAGTTTATTGCATATATGCACTGTCAGCGTTTGTATGAAGGTACATGGTGACACACAGTAACTGACACAAACCAGAAAGCTTTGGAGAAACTTTCAAGGAAAAAAAAAACCCTTTCTTCTGTCATGACAGGAAGAAAGTACACCCTGTTTCAGCTCTTGGATTTTATGTATCAGGGTACAATAAAAATCACCTGTTCCTTTAAAAAAATCATTTCAATTTGAATTTCATTTGAATGTACAAAACTGTACCTTCATCCACACTGCATGATTCAGCAGGCCTTGTAGAAAAACCATGTTGAGAAACATTGTATTATGCGTTATGGTCTGACAGTTGTGTTTTGGAATACTGTGAAGGTGATCAATGTGAAGATAGACAACTTTTCTTTTCTAAATGTTTTCCAGTCATGATTACAGTTGCACTTAAAACATTTTATTAAAAAGTTTTATAGTTTTTATCACATGAGTCACTTTCACAGAAAGTGACTCATGTGCAGATACATCACACACTGGGATTTTTCAGGTCTCTATTTCTACTATTTTTGATGACTATGTCCTAAAGATAATGACAACCATCAATTTAGTATCTCACAATATAAGAACACTGTGGAGATATTAAACACTGAAAACTCACGGTTCACACCTTAATCAGCTAATCGACTGAAAACGCCTGCAGAGGTTTCCTGACCCTCTCAGTCTGGGTTGATAAGACACAACATTCTGACTGGAGCATTAGACAGTGATGGACACTGTCCACTCGGAGAGAAGGCTACAAGAGGTGATTGCTGAAGAAGCTGCTGGTTCACAGAAGGCTGTATCTGGGGTATATCCATAGAAAGTTGAATGGAAGGAAAATGTTATTTAGAACAAGGTGCACCAGGAACATAATTGAAGCTTTGAGATGATTGTCAAGAAGAATCCATTCAAAAATTTGTGAATTTGACCTTTAACCCTGTAGAGAATATCTGGACTGTTAAGTGGAAGATGACACTCCAGATCCAAGGCAGATGACCAGAAGGCCGCTGTAAAAGCTACCTGGGTCACAGGCTGACCTCTTCCTTGCCACACCGCATTCATGCAGTAATTCATGCAAAAGGAGCCCCAACCAAAAATTAATGGAATAGAAATAAACATTGTTTTCAGAAGCCTGTCATGTCTGTTAAGCAATATTCTGATTTTCTGAGACACTGAATGATGGGTTTCCAGGATCTGTGAGGCGTAATCATCAAAACTAGAAGAAATTAAGACTTAAAAAATCTGACTCTGTGTTTAACTTTTTAAAATAAATAAAAACAAATACTGAGCTGTCATAACTAACAATTGCATGGTGGTGCCTATGTTGATAATAATCAGTTAATGAACACCAGGCTGCTACAGCCCCTCTAATGTCCCATGAAGGCACCATAGGTGAACTTAGTTTTTTCACCAGTGTTTCCATCATGGTTTACTTTTTGTTCAAAACGGAACAAAAAGCTGCTGTTGAACAGACAGAAGAAAAAAAACATTTATTTGGACTCCTGAACATAAATTAGACTTGTTTTTAGTTTTTCTGGAAAATGTCGATTTTTGGATGCAACATTTTCTTTGTTTTCTAAAAGAATAATAATTATTATAATAGTGGTTTGTTTATATCAACTTCTTGATAAATTGTTGCCACTTCTTTCTTAGATTTTTTAATTATATTGTTTATTTCCTTTTAACTCTTCTTGCAGTTTCTTTTTAAAGTCTGTTTGGCTGTGAACACAACAGTTTGACCTCCGTCACATGAAATAAGTCTAGATTTTGCTATAATTGTTTTTTCTTGGGATTTGGTTTGGTGTGAAATTTTATAATGTCCTAATATACATTAAACCCAAGAACAAACAGGATGTACTCTCTTTTCAGCCTCACTGTAAGTTTAAACAGTGGTGGCTGAACCAATAGGGTAGAGTTTGCCCCTCACCTCCCTTGTGGTTGCCACTGCCTGGAGGCATCAGAACCCAGCAGCAGCATGGTCTCTCATGAAGCAACACCAGCTCCTCCTTTCTTGTTTCTCTCACATGGACATTGAACTGAGTGACATTTATTTGCCTCGTATAGTTACAGTCACTAAATTATGTAGTAAAATAAATTCATAGAAAATCAAAGTTTGGAAAAATAGATTTTTTTTATGGTCACAGTGACTATATCTGACCTAGTGCAGAAGAATCCCAATGGCTTTGAACGTGCATTGCAACTGAAAAGACAGTGAACATGTCACGCATGCACATGTTCACTGCGCATGCGTGGTGCTGGTACATGCATCCAGTACCAGCACCAACTTGGAGCTGGAAGTTTGACCTACAAACTGCCTTTCTACTGTCTTGGTTCTGGACCCTTTCTGTCTCTGGTACTGTCTCGGATCAGGCTGCACTGTTACTGAACCCCCATAGAATCAGTGACACTTACTGTACAGTTTATACATGGAAGTTAGGTAATTAAGTGTATACAGAGACAGTGGCACGCTTTATGGAGTTGCATCAAGAGTAAAAGCTGAACACTTGCTGCATGTGGTCCTTGTGGTTTAACACCGGAGTGCATCAGTGCTTCTACATTTTTCATGATCATTTGTACATTTTTCTCCCTTCCTAATATGACATTGCTGTGGGTGATCATTTGTTAGGTCTTCGGGTTTTCTAAATCAGTCTGTAGTCTTGATTCTCCTTTATCTGACTCGTTTGAGGGTAATTCCTCTGTGGTTGTGTTAGGTTGAGAGTTAGTAGCCTGGTTCGGCTGCTGTGTGCCATTAGCACACACCACCGTACCCTCTGATTTGCTAAAATTAAACAGCTTCCCTGGACTAAATGTTCTGTTAGGGGATTGTGGCTTCTCCTGTCCACCCGGGGGAGCTGAAGACATCACTGCTGAGCCTGGTGTTCCTCCAGATGCCGCCGCTGGCTCTTTTTTCACTTCAGGTGACTTTAGGAACTTCAGAAATCCAGGCAGCTTTGCCTCGCCTCCCGTTGGTGACTGAGCTGGTGACCGGGACGACCCAGAGGAGAACTTCCCTTGGAGAGGAATAATCTGTTTGAGCTTCATCACATTGTTATTCCCCAGCAGGGAGCTGGGCCTCTTGGGCTTGTCACCAGGCTTGTTGCCCTGTGATTTGTCGTGGTGGTGCTGGTGCTGCATGTCCGCCTTGTGGTAGTCGCTCTCATGATGAGCTTCTGCCTGCAGCTCGGCCTGACGGTGAAGCTCCTCCTCCTCCCGGCGGCGCCGAAGCTGCTGCTGGAAGTGCTGCTGTGCCTGCAGCTCATGTTTCTGAAAGGTTAAACATTTAGGACAAAGTGATGGAAAAGAAGCATTCTACAGAGCAACAGTGTGTTCTACATTCTGACTGCAAACTAAGGGTGTTTTCACACTTGATAGTCTGGTAGACTTGGTTCGACAGGGGACCAAAAAAGCAGTATTTGGTTCATTTTCAGCCGGTGTGTTCTCTTTCACACAGGATTGTGTCAAACCAACCAGACCCTTTGGAAACCCTGTTCACCCTTTCACCTAAGAAACACTGAAGGAAACACCTCTGAAAAAGACACTGAGGGCATCTTCCTTCTTCATAAAATGTGAACAAAAGTGGAGTGGTTGGAAGATTTCTCTTTTGTCTTTGGTAAAAGAGTCATTTCTTCATTTCTGCTAGATGTACATGTTTGTTTTGGTTGTATTTACCCAGAATGGATTGTGTTGTAATCCACTTCCTGCGTTTGGAGCGGTATCCAGACTGCTTGGCGTTCATATATGTATTAAAAACGCACCGTAATTAACTTCAACCAAATCGACACCTGGTCCGTAGGCAGACCGGAGTTCACTTTTTGCTCTGCATCAGAGTTTGATAACATCCTCTGTTTAGCACACTTTAATCAAACTCTACTTCCTTTGTGTAGAAAGTCTGGTTTGTAGGTGAGATGTGATTGTGTAATCAAACTCTCACTCTCCTCTCACCGGGAGCGATGCATTTCTGCACATAGCAATAGGAGCCAGAGAGGCTTAATTTTTTTTTCATACATTATCTCTCATATTTGGCATATATGTAAGGTACAAATTTTTGTAAAAGGTACCATTAAGTCATTAGACCCATCACATTTTTTGTTTTAAGCTATTAAGAGGTCAAGGAAAAATATTTTTGCAAGTAAGAGCTTGGTGTTTATTTGGTTCAGCCATAGGTCTCACCTTGAAACTCTCACTAGGAGGCCATTTTATAGGCCCAGTCTGTCTTTCTCATTGTTGAATCCTTAACTCTGACCTTAATTGAGGTAAGTGAGGCCTGCAGACCTTTAAACATTGTTCTGGGTTTTTTGTGACCTCCTGAATGAGTGATTGATGCAGACATTTTGGGAAAGTTCACCATTGTTCCATATTTGCGCTATGTGTTGATAACAGTTCTCACTGTGGTTTTCTGGAGTCTTGACACTTTTCAAATGGCTTTGTAACCCTTTCCAGAATGACTGTTTCACATGTGTTATTTAACTTCTTCTGATTTTCTTTAGATCAGAAAAAGTTGAAAGAAGTTAAACCTGTACATTGTCATACAGGTTCTATTGCACAAGGCTTTTTTTCTTAATAAATGAAATTAGGGTTGCACAATTTTAGAAAATACTGTGATGACAATAATATTAATACATTTTATGATCACAATAACAGTGCTTATCATAATCATGTTCAGAACACTGAATATACTAGCCAAAAATGATTGCACTCCAAACAATCATTTGGGATATGAATAATGGGCACAATAATATTGCGGTAGCAATATATTTGCAATATATTGTGCAACCCTAAGTGACATCATCACATAAAAACTTTTTTAATTGTTACTCTGATTATTTTGCTCTGATGTTAACATTGTTGTCCTTTGAAGTGTGACAAGTAAAAAACTGAAAAGATCTGAAAAAGGAGCACTGTACAGAGAGCTGACTGACGTCACGCACTGCCACTATTCAAAGACAGACTGGACCACAGAGCATTTCAGGTTAACACACACCAAGAAACGAAGGGACGTATACACACATATATGCAATACAAATTGGCCAATCAGCAGCCAACAGCAGGTCTGATGTTGGCAGAAGGTCTTTCAAGCTATGACAGAGCGATATACCTTGAAAGCTTCCCTTCGTCGGTACTCTAGCTTGGCCATCTCGTCTGCTACCCAGCCAGGGATATCAGGGATGGCGACATGGATGACGTACTTTAGGAGGATTGCAAAGTGCTGAAAACCCACAAGACCACAAAGGGACAAACTCAAGACAACACATCAGAGTACAAGACATTCATTTTCACATTCTGTGTTTTGATGGATAAATAAGTCTTGCATACGCCATAAAACCTACACTAGACAGAACATTTTTAGGTTTAATGAAAGTGTGTAGGAAGTACCTCAAGCAAGACAATGGAGATGATGGTCATCTCTGGGCTCAACCAGGGGAACAGACGCTGAAGCTGGCCACACTGACCAATCAGGTAACAGTTAACTATAATGGCTATCAAGCCCATGGCTTCCATTGCAGTCTGTTGTTGAAAACAAGCAGACAAATTTACAGGCTGTTGAGGTGGAAGCCTGAAAGGCATTACTGACATTTCCAAGCTGGAAGCCACCAACCTGCCACTGTCCGATGTTCTCCACTCTCTGTCCGAACGGTCTCTGAAGGCCAGTGCACAGCTTCAGGGCATCACTTCGTATCTCAATGATGTTGTTGATAAGAGCACACATGGCCGCCAGGGGAAAGGCCGAGGAAAAGAGCACCACGTAGCCGAACTGAATGAACATCTCCTGGTAGTCTTGAAGTGTTCCCTTTTCACATCAAATGTCCCACCACAAAAAGATTAGTCACATTTTTTTAATGTGTACACATAACTGTGAGTAGATATAATTTTGGAGAAACATGTATCAGGAAGGCTACCTCATATGTCTGCATACAACTCTCTATCTCAGCCTGAGTCAAAGCAACAGTTTTGGTTTCCTCTGGTGGATCCATCCAAGATTTCTTGTCATCTTTCCCCTCCCCTACACTCCTTCTCTGGTAGATGGAATCGGATTCTTTTGAAGAGGACACACTGACACTCTCCTTGGTCTCCTGCTGAAGGAAAAATTAAAAATGATACTTCTGTGCTAATAACTGAAACATCTTTAATGTGTACTTATTCACACATTTCTTAAGGGTCCAGCATGGTCAAGCCAACGTGCCGAAATTGGTTCTCATTGTCGCAGTTGGGTGATGAAAATTACTTCTTTTAGTTCTCAGCCTCATGTCATCCACCCCTTCCTGTTGTAAACTACACATATGATGAAACACCATGACGTATACTGCAGTTGGAGGGGCTTCACAGGAGCTAAGACCAGTGAGTCTTGTGGACCTTGAAGGGTGTTTGTGAAAACAAACCTTTGTCAAGCATTGTCGACTTCTGCCCAACAATGGTGGGCCCTTAAGATGTTGAGAAACCCTGCCCATTAGACAGAAACAATGTTGACCACACTACCTGAGACAGCGATTCACAGTCACTGTCCTCATCACAACTGTCAAAAATACTGGATGGATCCATCCCGTCTTCCACCAGCGTCGGACTGTCCTCCAGGAAACTGTCCTCCACAGCCTGGGTCTCCGTCTTGACATTCTTGTAGTCCACCTTCTCGGTGAAGCTGACTTTCCGATGCTTTATAATGCTGTCGTTCATGTCCCACTCTTCCTCTGAGAGCCTGAAGCCAGCTTTCAGATCTCCTCTTCTCCTTGGTTCCTGGTTACAATTTGTGGCGTGACTGTTTGAGATTCCTCTGGGACTCAAGAAGGAGTAGGAGGTAATTGAGGCTTGTGCCTTCCCAAGAGCCAGACGCCCATACTTGAGAATGATGACTTGTAGGAGCTCCCATAAGACCTTTGGGGTGAAGACGCCGAGCTTGCTTTGCTCGTAGAGATATGGCTGAAGGACTTCTTTGATGTTTTGCAGGAATTGGCGGAAAATCAATAGAGTAGCAAGCATCTGAAAGGAAAACAGAGACTTTACATACAACATATATTGTTTTATATGTGCATATATATGTTTGTTATTATGGTGTATTGGAGAAGGGGTACGGTTAAATACATTATTTCTTCCTACACCTTCTCAGACATATTAAATGGAATTTATGCTTTATATGTATTGTTATGTGTGATACAGATTATTGATATATGGATATGTGTGCACATTGGGTAAATACTTATTTTTCAGATTTATTTTGTGTGTATTCAGTTAAAGTAGATGTATCAATTGACATAAACTTATTTTAAAAGGGGTTTTTATATGTTCGAATTGTGTTTGTATCCATGTGTCTGTGTGTGTATATGGGTATATGGGTATGTATAGATACACAAAGTCATACTAATGTTAACGTGGATGAACATAAACACATGGAATGAATCATTATGAAAATTAAATGACATGAAATGACATGTTGGATGTGCCTGAAGTGCAAAGTGCTTTGAGTGGTATAAGTTCAGTCCATTTTACCATTTGTCTTTGTACTGTTTATTTGCATGACTACCAATAGTAGAAACTTTAACTAGACTTTTCAATGTTGTTGTGTTGTGAGCTATCAGTGCAGAAACATCTAGATGTGTGATTGTGCAGTCAGACACACAGGAAGTTGCGTGGTTTCCTTGAAACAGCTGCTATAGATAGAGTCACATGTTTTGTTCTTACACTTGGTCAGAGGTAAGGTGCAATTTACAAATTGAAAGTAAAAGATTCAAAATGTAGAGATGTTACAAAGTGGTTTTACCATCAACTTCCTGTTTTCATTATATTTAGAAGAACATTCATGTCTGTTCATGTGTTTGTGTCCATACATTTGAATGGCAATATTATCCAAATTGGCACATTTGAATGGCACTATTATCCAAATTGGCTTACAAATGAAGATAAAAATGATTGTTCATAAAGCTCTAAAGCTACAAAGAATTGTTGGCCAAAATAATTCAAAATAAGTTATTATTATTATTTACATATACAGTCTGTAACAGAGGAATCAGTCTTGGGGTGATGGCGGTTCTGAAAGTAGAAGTTTGGTGGTCACATGGCGCCGTGGCTCTGACTGCAAGGCAGCCTCGCTTCTGTCAGTCTGAATAACATCACCTTCCTAAAATAATGACTTCAGCCATATCTTTTTTTTTTGTCAAAAGTGTTCCGGTTTTTTTTTTTTTATTTGTTTTCTTTGCTTTTTTTTTTCCCCAAATCACTTTTGGCAAAAAAAAAAAAAGGACTCAGGCCATTATTTTAGGAATGTGACAATATTATGTTTTTCAAGAATCAATTTAATCTCAGGGCTGCACAGTTGGCAGCACTATTAACTTGCAGGAAAATCTCAACAAATCTCAACCTGCGGTCTTTCTGTATGTTCTCCCTGTGCATGCATGACTTCCTCTCACAGTGCAAAACATGACTGGCTAATTAGTCTCTTTAAATTCTCAATAGGTGTGAGTGTGTGCCTATGGAGTGTAATCTCAAATAAGATAATGACATAACAATCAACATTACAATAATTTTCAAGTCATAAGATTCTGTTTTTGTTAATATGTTATTTATTATTACAACCAGAGTTCATACACATTTTTAATGCCAAAATTCCAGAATTGTCATCAGATTTCCAAAACAAAAGCATTGAAAAAGCCGAGAAGACAATATCTAAAGACATGCTCAACAGCAGTCTGTTGAAGTCAGAGGGTTCTGACACTGATGGAAGTTGCAGACTGATTTTAATTGTTGTGAAATGGTGCTATATAAATAAACTGAATTGAATTGATTGAGTGTACAGGACTGGCTAATTTTTGCCAAAGCTCAAAACTAACATATTCCAAAATAAATAGCAACTACTGATTTTTGTTTTGTACTACCAATTTCAAATTTCAAATTTTCTTCAATGTTCTTACCTCCTTCAGTCGATCCATGTCCTTGAGGTAGAATCCAATGTAGAAAAGGCTGAGGTAAGAATTGATGAATTCAAACTGTGAAGAACAAGAAGACATAAGAAGAAATAGAAAACCAAACTATCTTAAAAAGCAAAGCACAAAACAAAACAGGATAACTTACAAAAACCATCTTGATGATCAAATTGTTCTCGTAGGCACTCTGAAGCCTGTAGTTCTCTGGAAGAACAAACAAACATGAAGCAGAGACATATTCTATTTCCTATTTCTGTTCCTGCTGGAGAAAAGGAGAGTCAGTCACCATCCTCTCCCTTTCTTATCAAAGAACTCGTCTATTATTCACACAAACGGAATTCTGTCATTTGCCAAAATGATTCCTACCCATGTCATTAAGCCAGTAGGCAATCTTCTTATACACTTCATCACATACAGTTACAGTGATGGCCAGAAGTATCTTAGGGATGAATCTTGTGATACTAGGCAGCTCCTGAATCTCCATCACCACTTCCTGCAAAGTGAAGAATATTATTGTGGAATTAGAACTAGTGACAGTCTAATAACTGTTATTTATCACTGTCATGACATGAAAACTGTGGAGGACCAAAACTGACATAATTAAAAATAAAAGCAGAAATTAATAGATTTTGTTTTTCCTTTTTCCTACACATACATTTTCATCAAGAAATGCATGACCAGCCCATAGACAGGAGTTGAAGTCCTAAGACACCACCCCTCCTCATTTGCATAACAAGGCAAAAAAAGCTTTAGGAAAATTAAAACGTGGAGGCGAGGAAATGTAAAAAGAACAAAGGAGATGGAAAGACAAAATATACATACATTTCTTGATGAAATGCATGTGTAAATTTGACAGATAATTCATTTTATTTATAAATGTATTATAAATAATACATTAATAAAAATTACGTCTTGAGATCTCAAAGGGCTAAATGACTCTATATGTGTCATAAAACTAGCACTAGACACTCTATATAGAATATGCATATTTTACCTGTTTGAAAATTGAATACTTTAATATTGGATTCTTTATGTTTGGCTGTGGAGCTGTGTCATTACTAGCTGTTTTTGTTTAGCATGGTAGACAGTGCTGTCCAACAGAGACCTGCAGTTGAAGACAGAGGAGCATGGCGAGGAAGACGAAGCAGAGGCAGAGCAGGCAGACAGGCAGGCTGACCAGCCATCTGAACATGGCTCTCTTCCAGGCGGGGTAGTAGAACTCCTCACAGCCTGTTATGGGACTGCACCGCCTCACACCCTGTAGGCACGCATTAGAAATCAGATTGTTGAGAAAGACTGGGGGTCCTCTGGACATGATGAAGCAAAGAAGGACTTTCCAAATAACATTATGAACAACCCTGACCAAGAGATTGTCTTAGAAAAACAGTGTCTTTGGTCAGAGGCTTTTTCGAATTTGCTGTAATACAGACTGCTACAGGAGCTCTTTTCTGCCAACAGCCATCACTGTCTACACCACCATTTAATTTCCCTTTGGGATCAATAACATACTTTTAATTTAATTAATATGAGCTTCCCTCAAAAAATTAACTTCCATGAAAGTATGAAAAACAACCTAGGTCAGTGTAATGCTTGATAACATGATCTGTTTATGTGGGCAACACAATGAAACTTGACAAAAGCAAGCGCCCAACGTGGGGCTCGAACCCACGACCCTGAGATTAAGAGTCTCATGCTCTACCGACTGAGCTAGCCGGGCTCAGCTCCCATGTGACCTGTGTGCCTCTTTACCCATCACAACCCCTCCCACCACTGCTTCTTTTGTGGGGGTATGCAACCTAATAACACCCCCTCCCTCCCCACACACACACTAACCCCGCCCCTCCTGCTGCTCTCAGAGCACATGGACCCACCAACCCCATTTCCTGCTATTGTAGGCTAACCCTGTGTTGGGAGGAAGACTGTCAGAGGAAATATCACCAAGACATGAGAAACTTTCAGGGTCATTATTACAGGAAGCCTGTGCTTATATTGTGAAGAGTTCTCACCCTGAACTGGGGCCTGGGCTCCTCCAAGGACTCGGCGGGGGTGTCCAGGGTGCCCCACCTGTAGGCCAGCTCCGCTTCTCGCCGCTTCCAGCGCTCCAGAAATAAAGTTGCCCAGACGACATTAAAGAGAGCAAAAACCACACAGCAGATATCCTGGCTGGTCTGTGTGGGGACAAAAGGTTGAGTCAGTCACTTTACGCCACTTTAATTGTAAAGCTGTGAGGAGGATCCATCAGTTTTCTTTAGCATGACAGTGAGATTAATACCTGGTAGCAGTCATAAATAAAGTAAAATCAAATTATTGATTTTTAGTAGTTTCCACCCGAAGATGTTTCCCTTTCAATGTGTACTTTTTGAAACTTTTCTCTGTGAAAATATAAAATCTGAGAATGACTCTACAGCACACAGGAGAAAACACTAAAGACATGGATTTCTGTTCATAAACTGAAAATGTGTTGCCTTTTTTAATAAGTATATGTATTACAGTAATGCTGGCTAAAATGTTCTTTGCATGTCAAGTCTTTGGTCATGCAAACATAAAGTACAGAGTGGAGGTCATCAGACTTCTAGTTAAAAAAGGAAATGACGTTGCTATTATTCACTTGTCTACTCTCTTTGCACATATCATAAAGCGGTGATTGTGAGGATAAACGCTGAGACCCAGGTTATGGTGATGATGATGAATTTAATGATGAATGTTGCTCTAAACCAGGGGTCACCAACTCCAGTCCTCAAGGGCTACCATCCTGCAACTTTTAGATTCACCTCTGCTCCAAAATGTCTGAATTCCCTCACCAGCATTCACTCCTCTCTGCAATAAGCTGGAAACGAGCAGTTTATTTGATCCAGGTGTGTTTGAGCAGAGACGCATCTAAAAGTTACAGGATGGTAGCCCTCGAGGACTGGAGTTGGTGACCCCTGTTCTAAACAGTCCAATCAGGCAGCACGGCAGGAACAATAGCACACAGCTAATAACCGGCAGCAATTGACAATTGGTGACTGAATGCAGGAGCTAAGACTAACCAGGACTTCATACAGTACGACTGGAGAGCTAGGCGGAAGACGTACAACAAACGACAAGGACCCAACAAAGGACAAAGACAACAGGGGGGACTAAATACACTGGGAGGGAAATCAAGGAATGAGACACACCTGGGATCAATCAACAGGGAAGACGCAGAAACAACAGAGACTCAGGACAGGAACTGAACACAGAAAAACCTTAATATAAATGCACAAAAACACGGATCATGACAGCACAGATGTAAGGTGGCTGTTTTGCAACCCTGAAAAAACACCTAGAACCGCTGGTTCCTTATCTTTGCAGATGTTCCTCATTTCCTGCAGGAAATGAACTTATGAACTTAATTTTTCTACCTACTATAAATGCTGCAATGTACATGTTTCACTTCACCCATCAATATGTCTCCAAACTATGCTCTGGAAGTATAAGGTCAAAGGGGATCATAAGAGGGACATACGGTGGAATAAACAACAAGAGTATAACTATTAAGCAAAAACAATATTATCAATAAATGCAAAATGATTCTTAATATGATGAATAGTACGAGTAAAATAAATATATGGGCACATAGGAATAAAAGTTGAATGTAAGATAAGTAAAAAAAATAATAATGCAGTGATTATTATTATTTTCTCAACACATATTGAGCAATAAGATCAAATTAACTACAGATAACATATGAACTTCTTTTAACAGAACTTCACTTAACTAAAATGGTGAACTATTTATTTATTTTCAATATGATAGCAGTATAAAGAAACAGACATGAACAAGTATTGTAAAAGACATATTTTTTGTACCACAATAATCTTAACATGCCCGAAAAGGAATAGGAAGAAGTACAAAACTTATGAACTCCTACCCGATAAACTTACCATGTTTTGAGGTGGACCCTCATTATTAAATAAAAAAAAGAAAAATCTTGACATGGTTTAATTAATTTTCCATTTTATCTGTTTTTTTGGGGTATTTTTTGCCATGGACTTGTCAGACACACATATATGTACATGCATACATCCATACCCACACACACTCTGCGTTAGCCTCAGTTTACATATACAGATTTGTGCTAAGTCTCACCCATATTTCTACAGCTAGTGAAAATGACCTCATTTTTCTTTTCAAATTGTATTACATTTTGACTTTGTTTTAACTCCTCATTTAACTTGTTCCTAATTTTACATCATGAATTGAAATACCCTCAAAAGCTCTCTCTTTAAGGTTTGTGATACCTGATCATCTTCTGCTAGTATCCAGAGCAGAAAGCCGATGACGGCAGGGTAGAGCATGGAGTTGGTGTAGAAACCCAGCCAAGCAAAGTACATGCCGATCTTCACTCCAAAGTAGTCACAAATGTCATCTGGAAATGATTTATTAGACATAACTGAGGATATTCAGCTTGCTTTAAAAAACTCCAACCTTGAGTTAGCAGAAGTGGACCCGATTTCAAGGAATCTATTCAGTATGAGGCATTCCATGTCATCCTCCAGTATTTCTTACCGAGGGGCTGCCTTTCACACACAGCCTGGACCCACGAAGTCATCAGCTGGTTGAGTATTCTTTGTTCATGAAGAGGAAACATCTGATGGATCACTCCCCGAGCGATTAGCTCTGGAACTAAAAGTACAGAAAACGGCTGAAACCAGAGTTCCCAGTTCGATGCTTGTTCCCAGTTCCATCACGTAAACTCATAACCAAATCAATCAAAGTTTTTTGGGTTACAATGTGGCAAGATGTGAAAAGCTTTGGGGTATGTAAACTTTTAAGATACTAACAATGCTGTACTTTTTGTTGAACTTTTTTAGCTCCTTGTCCAAAAGTGCCACATAAATATGACAAGGAAAAAACATTGAATATATAAAATTTTTACCTGCTCAGCAATAAACTACACATGGGACATAATTTTTGACAGGAAAGTATCTATAAATCACTGATAAAAAAAAAGTTTTGTACTTATTAAAGTTGTAGAGTTGTCGTATAATGACTCAATTTTCAACAATAAGAAGATGATTTTGGATTTTCTTTGAAAACTACTTGATATTGCCAAGGTTTAGTAAATCAACTAAATGCAGATTTTGGTGAAATCATGTCTGCTATATAGTAAAAGTTGCTGGATATCAATATGAAATTAAGAAACAAAAAGAAAAAAACATGTATATTATAAGATGAATACTTTGTAATGTGCCTATGTTTTCCATTTTTAGAAAATTTCAGTTTGTAAAAAATTTACTTTTTTAACTGAAAAAAAAAGTTTTCATTTGGATCATCTGCCTGTCCTGGGCCCCCAATTATATATCAATCAAATGTTATTTGCATAGCACATTTCAGCAACAAGGCAGTTCAAAGAGCTTTACATCATAAAAACATATACCCTGCTTGCAGCCATGATCCACACAAAATTAGCTTAGCTGCTGCAAAAGTGGCCCCCAGGCCACACTTTGAACATTAACCCCTGCATTAAGGGATAAAACCAGAATAAAGGAATGAGAAGATGCAGAGCGGCCTGGAAAATGTAGATGATAAAAAGCATCTCACTTATTGGCTGCCCCTCCAAGAAGTGGATGTTGTGGAGCATCTCCCCCTGTTTGGCACGCAGGTTATCCAGCCAATACTTAATGATGCTCTGACGTTCCTAAGCACAACAGGCACACATGGTTTTATGGAATTTAATAAAATAACACCTACATTTGTACATCCATTTTTTTTTTTACGAAGACCTGAGTTACATTCTAACACTTCCAGGTGACACTGATAACGAGAATCCCAGACTTTTAACCTGCGAGGTGAAAAAGCAAAGCTTGCTTTCTATGTTCTCATAGATGTTGTCTTCCTCACAGGAGAAGCGGCGCATGCCACCACCAAACTGTGGCTTCACAGTCTTGTACATGCCCATCTGCTCGGCTCCTCGCAGCAGGCTGTTGGGGGGGATAAACAGCAAGATTTTATTTCCATCTGAAATAAGAGGCTATTTTTTCTTGTACCTGTGAAAGAAGTTGAATCTTACTTTTCAAATGTTATTGCGATGAAGAAGGCGTGGGTCTGGGTGTGTTTATGTTGCCGGACCTGGATGCTGACCTGTGGGATTCCAACACGAATTTGATTCAGGAGCCACAGCAGAGTGTGGTCATCTATTGTATCTGGGGAAATTAGAAATACATCCATTTGAAGTTCATCAGCATGTTTTCAACCATCTACTGTCCAAAAACAGAAGCTGTGGTAAAGTAGAAGTTTCTGTGTCTATTCTAGAGATGCTTGACTGGACCAGTTGTTGATCAGCTGATATAAAACTAAAAATCACATCCTTTGTGTGATCAGTTATTGCAGTGTATTGATAATCTGTAGATTATCTTTTGGATAAACCATTTAATAACTGGTTTGTATATGGTGCTAATAGGACTCTGTTTACTCAAGTTAAACAGAAAACTTGATTATTTCAATAATTAATTCATCACAATTATTCCAATTAATCATTTCAGCTCTAATTGTGTTTTTAACCCAGTTCTTCTTGCATGGAATCTCAGTGGTGGATCCACTTCCGCTAATCTGCTGAAGTGCTAACAGCAGAGCTAATTTTTCATTTATTGCCTGCAGCGTTTTTGCTAATTTGTAAAATGTTTAGGGCAGTTAGCTTCCCGTAAATGAGCTGTTCCAGATAAATATGAATAAGCTAATTTAATTTAATTTATGGTTTTGTAAACTGTTAGCTGAATAAAGTTTAAAGTCTCTGTTGAAGCTTTTATTAGCGACTGTTAAGCATTCTTCAAGTAGTGAGATGTTTATGCATGCTCTTATTGTGAGGGAAAAACTACTTATGCAGAAATGTATCCATCCATTTTCTTTACACCCTTGTCCCTAGTGGGGTCAGAAGGGTTGCTGGTGCCTATCTCCAGCTAACATTCTGGGTGAGAGGCAGGGTACACCCTGGAGAGGTTTCCAGTCTGTTGCAGGGCAACACAGAGACAGACAGGACAAACAACCATGCACACACATTCTAATTAGGATGACTAGGGACAATGTAGACAGACCAATTAACCTAACAGTCATGTTTTTGGACTGTGGGAGAAGATGGGGGATTGAACCCAGAACCTTCTTGCTGCAAGGCAACAGCTCTACCAACTGTGCCACTGTGCAGCCCTGCAGACATTTATTTAATCTTAAATTACATTTATTCTGTACCCAGAATGCATAGCTGTAGACAGATTAAATACTACTTGTGTCCTGCACGATTTCTGAACACATTTCCCTAATGTGGTCAACAAGGCAAGCTCAGCAACAGCGTTAGCAATACTCAAAAACCTCTTACTCTTATAATTATTTATGAGTGAAAGTTCTCTTCCAAAGAATAACTTCCTGAAGCATCACTGTACAGGTAGGTGTGCACTAACAAATCTGACCCTGCTCATGGTAATACACATACATGGACTGGACGATATGACCAGTCCATGTAAATGACTGGTCATATCGTCATTTACATGGACTGTAAATCCATGTAAATGGATTTACAGTTGTTGGATCCTGTTAGAATCCAACAACCCAGGATCCTAACAGGATGTGTTAGGATCCTGGGTTGTTGAGTTATGGTCGCAAACTTTGACACTAAATTCAGTTGCTCCTCCACCCTTTCTCTAACTTCACCATAAAGTGTGGCTGTGTATGGCTATGTGTGAAAAATCTTCCCAGCCAGGGATTTTGTATCTATGGTCGATGACTGACATAATTTTCCTGAAGCCCCTTATTTCCACCGAAATAAACATCATGCCTTTACCATGGGCTTCTCTTTTGACACGGCTGGGTCAAGGGTGATACTTCAGGGACATGTTGGCTTATACATTCATGCCAACATGCAAACTTCATCTTGCTTCATCTTTTGACTCTCAGAATATTCTATCAACAGGAAGTACTTCAGATGATGGAAACAGATTGATGTGTTCCTGCTGCTAATTGGCACGACTCTACGGCACATTGTACAGCACGATGAAACCTGAAGTTTATAGAGGTCTGAACTACGTCGACACCGCCAAATTAATCTTTCCTCTCATCAATATTCTGTCTGCTTTCTCTTTGCTTGTGGAAGCTGGGGGCATTCCATTTTTGGCTAAAACGTACCACATTGGAGCTTAGCATAGCCTAGACCAACCACCTAGCACAACCTTCTAGTGCTGGGCACGGGTCTGTCGTGTACATCATTACTCAAGTAGCCAATGTGTTGTGGCCAGTGGCATTTTCTGATACGAGCGACATGGGCAACCGCCCACAGTGCGCCATCTTGGGTGGGCAGCATGAGCCCAGGGCGCCAAACAGACCAGGACTGCCTCTGGTTGCAACTCTTTCTGTTCAGCTTGAATTGGTTGTGGAATAAATCAGACATACTGTGATTCCTTTTGATTTTTATGTGCATTTCCAACCATAACCTGATAGTTCTGTAAATCTGGGATCTTTCTGTAATTGATTTATTTTGATATAAATATTTTATTTTTGAGATAGTAGGCTGTTCAATTGATTCTGAAAGGTAATTTCTAATCAGTGCACACAGAGTAAGGTTGAGTAGAAGCTATTTTTAACAGCACTAATATGCTCACTCGTGATAGGTGGTACTGGGGGATAAAGGTCAGTCAAGCTGAGTTCCATAATTTCCTCATCTTTCATAGAAAAAAAATATATATATTTTACACGTCGTCCTTTTAGAAACGGTGTCTGAGACAAATGTGGCAATTGTGTATTCAGACAGAAATAATAAATGTTGACTTAAGCCGCTTATCTGCCCATAAGTAAACAGCGTGCTCTGTTTAAACAGCTCACATAAAACAGGATGTGCTCCTTCACGCTGCATGTGTATGGTGGCTTAATGAAATGCTTCAAGTTCACATTGCTGGCCCTTCCATTAAAAGGAGACAGCAGAAAAAACAGGTGCTGTTAATGGACAGCTTTTAATATCCTCCAAAGCACTTCACTATAAATCTCTGACTAGCTACCAGCGCCTTCTCTCCTCACTGCAGGACAAACATGGAGGACATGTCAGAGCAGAGCGTTTACCTGGAAAAGTCATCAGGATGTCACAGTTTTGTGTGGGAACCATCTTTAACCAGGACTTGCGAGAGTTGATGTAATGTCTGGCCAGCAGAAGTCGTTTCCCAAACAGTTTATCTAAGAAAAAGAAAGAAAAGGATGAGTCTGACATGGAAGGATAAAGCACATAAAAACTGTGTGTGTGCTGATGAAAGACAACATGTACCAGACAGATGGTGGTATTTATCATTGTGACAATCATGACCACAGATGACTGGCTGTTTGTTAGTAACACTCTGCCACTCATCACTAGCTGCATTTCCATTGACCAATCTGACATTTCACGTGTTTCATTGAGGACGTGTTTTTTGCTTAAAAGTCTTTTCAGCTAGGATGAGAGGTTTATTGGTTGATGTTGCAAAACTGCAATGGAAACACTTTTTTCNTGTGTCATAAAACTAGCACTAGACACTCTATATAGAATATGCATATTTTACCTGTTTGAAAATTGAATACTTTAATATTGGATTCTTTATGTTTGGCTGTGGAGCTGTGTCATTACTAGCTGTTTTTGTTTAGCATGGTAGACAGTGCTGTCCAACAGAGACCTGCAGTTGAAGACAGAGGAGCATGGCGAGGAAGACGAAGCAGAGGCAGAGCAGGCAGACAGGCAGGCTGACCAGCCATCTGAACATGGCTCTCTTCCAGGCGGGGTAGTAGAACTCCTCACAGCCTGTTATGGGACTGCACCGCCTCACACCCTGTAGGCACGCATTAGAAATCAGATTGTTGAGAAAGACTGGGGGTCCTCTGGACATGATGAAGCAAAGAAGGACTTTCCAAATAACATTATGAACAACCCTGACCAAGAGATTGTCTTAGAAAAACAGTGTCTTTGGTCAGAGGCTTTTTCGAATTTGCTGTAATACAGACTGCTACAGGAGCTCTTTTCTGCCAACAGCCATCACTGTCTACACCACCATTTAATTTCCCTTTGGGATCAATAACATACTTTTAATTTAATTAATATGAGCTTCCCTCAAAAAATTAACTTCCATGAAAGTATGAAAAACAACCTAGGTCAGTGTAATGCTTGATAACATGATCTGTTTATGTGGGCAACACAATGAAACTTGACAAAAGCAAGCGCCCAACGTGGGGCTCGAACCCACGACCCTGAGATTAAGAGTCTCATGCTCTACCGACTGAGCTAGCCGGGCTCAGCTCCCATGTGACCTGTGTGCCTCTTTACCCATCACAACCCCTCCCACCACTGCTTCTTTTGTGGGGGTATGCAACCTAATAACACCCCCTCCCTCCCCACACACACACTAACCCCGCCCCTCCTGCTGCTCTCAGAGCACATGGACCCACCAACCCCATTTCCTGCTATTGTAGGCTAACCCTGTGTTGGGAGGAAGACTGTCAGAGGAAATATCACCAAGACATGAGAAACTTTCAGGGTCATTATTACAGGAAGCCTGTGCTTATATTGTGAAGAGTTCTCACCCTGAACTGGGGCCTGGGCTCCTCCAAGGACTCGGCGGGGGTGTCCAGGGTGCCCCACCTGTAGGCCAGCTCCGCTTCTCGCCGCTTCCAGCGCTCCAGAAATAAAGTTGCCCAGACGACATTAAAGAGAGCAAAAACCACACAGCAGATATCCTGGCTGGTCTGTGTGGGGACAAAAGGTTGAGTCAGTCACTTTACGCCACTTTAATTGTAAAGCTGTGAGGAGGATCCATCAGTTTTCTTTAGCATGACAGTGAGATTAATACCTGGTAGCAGTCATAAATAAAGTAAAATCAAATTATTGATTTTTAGTAGTTTCCACCCGAAGATGTTTCCCTTTCAATGTGTACTTTTTGAAACTTTTCTCTGTGAAAATATAAAATCTGAGAATGACTCTACAGCACACAGGAGAAAACACTAAAGACATGGATTTCTGTTCATAAACTGAAAATGTGTTGCCTTTTTTAATAAGTATATGTATTACAGTAATGCTGGCTAAAATGTTCTTTGCATGTCAAGTCTTTGGTCATGCAAACATAAAGTACAGAGTGGAGGTCATCAGACTTCTAGTTAAAAAAGGAAATGACGTTGCTATTATTCACTTGTCTACTCTCTTTGCACATATCATAAAGCGGTGATTGTGAGGATAAACGCTGAGACCCAGGTTATGGTGATGATGATGAATTTAATGATGAATGTTGCTCTAAACCAGGGGTCACCAACTCCAGTCCTCAAGGGCTACCATCCTGCAACTTTTAGATTCACCTCTGCTCCAAAATGTCTGAATTCCCTCACCAGCATTCATTCCTCTCTGCAATAGGCTGGAAACGAGCAGTTTATTTGATCCAGGTGTGTTTGAGCAGAGACGCATCTAAAAGTTACAGGATGGTAGCCCTCGAGGACTGGAGTTGGTGACCCCTGTTCTAAACAGTCCAATCAGGCAGCACGGCAGGAACAATAGCACACAGCTAATAACCGGCAGCAATTGACAATTGGTGACTGAATGCAGGAGCTAAGACTAACCAGGACTTCATACAGTACGACTGGAGAGCTAGGCGGAAGACGTACAACAAACGACAAGGACCCAACAAAGGACAAAGACAACAGGGGGGACTAAATACACTGGGAGGGAAATCAAGGAATGAGACACACCTGGGATCAATCAACAGGGAAGACGCAGAAACAACAGAGACTCAGGACAGGAACTGAACACAGAAAAACCTTAATATAAATGCACAAAAACACGGATCATGACAGCACAGATGTAAGGTGGCTGTTTTGCAACCCTGAAAAAACACCTAGAACCGCTGGTTCCTTATCTTTGCAGATGTTCCTCATTTCCTGCAGGAAATGAACTTATGAACTTAATTTTTCTACCTACTATAAATGCTGCAATGTACATGTTTCACTTCACCCATCAATATGTCTCCAAACTATGCTCTGGAAGTATAAGGTCAAAGGGGATCATAAGAGGGACATACGGTGGAATAAACAACAAGAGTATAACTATTAAGCAAAAACAATATTATCAATAAATGCAAAATGATTCTTAATATGATGAATAGTACGAGTAAAATAAATATATGGGCACATAGGAATAAAAGTTGAATGTAAGATAAGTAAAAAAAATAATAATGCAGTGATTATTATTATTTTCTCAACACATATTGAGCAATAAGATCAAATTAACTACAGATAACATATGAACTTCTTTTAACAGAACTTCACTTAACTAAAATGGTGAACTATTTATTTATTTTCAATATGATAGCAGTATAAAGAAACAGACATGAACAAGTATTGTAAAAGACATATTTTTTGTACCACAATAATCTTAACATGCCCGAAAAGGAATAGGAAGAAGTACAAAACTTATGAACTCCTACCCGATAAACTTACCATGTTTTGAGGTGGACCCTCATTATTAAATAAAAAAAAGAAAAATCTTGACATGGTTTAATTAATTTTCCATTTTATCTGTTTTTTTGGGGTATTTTTTGCCATGGACTTGTCAGACACACATATATGTACATGCATACATCCATACCCACACACACTCTGCGTTAGCCTCAGTTTACATATACAGATTTGTGCTAAGTCTCACCCATATTTCTACAGCTAGTGAAAATGACCTCATTTTTCTTTTCAAATTGTATTACATTTTGACTTTGTTTTAACTCCTCATTTAACTTGTTCCTAATTTTACATCATGAATTGAAATACCCTCAAAAGCTCTCTCTTTAAGGTTTGTGATACCTGATCATCTTCTGCTAGTATCCAGAGCAGAAAGCCGATGACGGCAGGGTAGAGCATGGAGTTGGTGTAGAAACCCAGCCAAGCAAAGTACATGCCGATCTTCACTCCAAAGTAGTCACAAATGTCATCTGGAAATGATTTATTAGACATAACTGAGGATATTCAGCTTGCTTTAAAAAACTCCAACCTTGAGTTAGCAGAAGTGGACCCGATTTCAAGGAATCTATTCAGTATGAGGCATTCCATGTCATCCTCCAGTATTTCTTACCGAGGGGCTGCCTTTCACACACAGCCTGGACCCACGAAGTCATCAGCTGGTTGAGTATTCTTTGTTCATGAAGAGGAAACATCTGATGGATCACTCCCCGAGCGATTAGCTCTGGAACTAAAAGTACAGAAAACGGCTGAAACCAGAGTTCCCAGTTCGATGCTTGTTCCCAGTTCCATCACGTAAACTCATAACCAAATCAATCAAAGTTTTTTGGGTTACAATGTGGCAAGATGTGAAAAGCTTTGGGGTATGTAAACTTTTAAGATACTAACAATGCTGTACTTTTTGTTGAACTTTTTTAGCTCCTTGTCCAAAAGTGCCACATAAATATGACAAGGAAAAAACATTGAATATATAAAATTTTTACCTGCTCAGCAATAAACTACACATGGGACATAATTTTTGACAGGAAAGTATCTATAAATCACTGATAAAAAAAAAGTTTTGTACTTATTAAAGTTGTAGAGTTGTCGTATAATGACTCAATTTTCAACAATAAGAAGATGATTTTGGATTTTCTTTGAAAACTACTTGATATTGCCAAGGTTTAGTAAATCAACTAAATGCAGATTTTGGTGAAATCATGTCTGCTATATAGTAAAAGTTGCTGGATATCAATATGAAATTAAGAAACAAAAAGAAAAAAACATGTATATTATAAGATGAATACTTTGTAATGTGCCTATGTTTTCCATTTTTAGAAAATTTCAGTTTGTAAAAAATTTACTTTTTTAACTGAAAAAAAAAGTTTTCATTTGGATCATCTGCCTGTCCTGGGCCCCCAATTATATATCAATCAAATGTTATTTGCATAGCACATTTCAGCAACAAGGCAGTTCAAAGAGCTTTACATCATAAAAACATATACCCTGCTTGCAGCCATGATCCACACAAAATTAGCTTAGCTGCTGCAAAAGTGGCCCCCAGGCCACACTTTGAACATTAACCCCTGCATTAAGGGATAAAACCAGAATAAAGGAATGAGAAGATGCAGAGCGGCCTGGAAAATGTAGATGATAAAAAGCATCTCACTTATTGGCTGCCCCTCCAAGAAGTGGATGTTGTGGAGCATCTCCCCCTGTTTGGCACGCAGGTTATCCAGCCAATACTTAATGATGCTCTGACGTTCCTAAGCACAACAGGCACACATGGTTTTATGGAATTTAATAAAATAACACCTACATTTGTACATCCATTTTTTTTTTTACGAAGACCTGAGTTACATTCTAACACTTCCAGGTGACACTGATAACGAGAATCCCAGACTTTTAACCTGCGAGGTGAAAAAGCAAAGCTTGCTTTCTATGTTCTCATAGATGTTGTCTTCCTCACAGGAGAAGCGGCGCATGCCACCACCAAACTGTGGCTTCACAGTCTTGTACATGCCCATCTGCTCGGCTCCTCGCAGCAGGCTGTTGGGGGGGATAAACAGCAAGATTTTATTTCCATCTGAAATAAGAGGCTATTTTTTCTTGTACCTGTGAAAGAAGTTGAATCTTACTTTTCAAATGTTATTGCGATGAAGAAGGCGTGGGTCTGGGTGTGTTTATGTTGCCGGACCTGGATGCTGACCTGTGGGATTCCAACACGAATTTGATTCAGGAGCCACAGCAGAGTGTGGTCATCTATTGTATCTGGGGAAATTAGAAATACATCCATTTGAAGTTCATCAGCATGTTTTCAACCATCTACTGTCCAAAAACAGAAGCTGTGGTAAAGTAGAAGTTTCTGTGTCTATTCTAGAGATGCTTGACTGGACCAGTTGTTGATCAGCTGATATAAAACTAAAAATCACATCCTTTGTGTGATCAGTTATTGCAGTGTATTGATAATCTGTAGATTATCTTTTGGATAAACCATTTAATAACTGGTTTGTATATGGTGCTAATAGGACTCTGTTTACTCAAGTTAAACAGAAAACTTGATTATTTCAATAATTAATTCATCACAATTATTCCAATTAATCATTTCAGCTCTAATTGTGTTTTTAACCCAGTTCTTCTTGCATGGAATCTCAGTGGTGGATCCACTTCCGCTAATCTGCTGAAGTGCTAACAGCAGAGCTAATTTTTCATTTATTGCCTGCAGCGTTTTTGCTAATTTGTAAAATGTTTAGGGCAGTTAGCTTCCCGTAAATGAGCTGTTCCAGATAAATATGAATAAGCTAATTTAATTTAATTTATGGTTTTGTAAACTGTTAGCTGAATAAAGTTTAAAGTCTCTGTTGAAGCTTTTATTAGCGACTGTTAAGCATTCTTCAAGTAGTGAGATGTTTATGCATGCTCTTATTGTGAGGGAAAAACTACTTATGCAGAAATGTATCCATCCATTTTCTTTACACCCTTGTCCCTAGTGGGGTCAGAAGGGTTGCTGGTGCCTATCTCCAGCTAACATTCTGGGTGAGAGGCAGGGTACACCCTGGAGAGGTTTCCAGTCTGTTGCAGGGCAACACAGAGACAGACAGGACAAACAACCATGCACACACATTCTAATTAGGATGACTAGGGACAATGTAGACAGACCAATTAACCTAACAGTCATGTTTTTGGACTGTGGGAGAAGATGGGGGATTGAACCCAGAACCTTCTTGCTGCAAGGCAACAGCTCTACCAACTGTGCCACTGTGCAGCCCTGCAGACATTTATTTAATCTTAAATTACATTTATTCTGTACCCAGAATGCATAGCTGTAGACAGATTAAATACTACTTGTGTCCTGCACGATTTCTGAACACATTTCCCTAATGTGGTCAACAAGGCAAGCTCAGCAACAGCGTTAGCAATACTCAAAAACCTCTTACTCTTATAATTATTTATGAGTGAAAGTTCTCTTCCAAAGAATAACTTCCTGAAGCATCACTGTACAGGTAGGTGTGCACTAACAAATCTGACCCTGCTCATGGTAATACACATACATGGACTGGACGATATGACCAGTCCATGTAAATGACTGGTCATATCGTCATTTACATGGACTGTAAATCCATGTAAACTGTAAATCCAACAACTGGATTTACAGTTGTTGGATCCTGTTAGAATCCAACAACCCAGGATCCTAACAGGATGTGTTAGGATCCTGGGTTGTTGAGTTATGGTCGCAAACTTTGACACTAAATTCAGTTGCTCCTCCACCCTTTCTCTAACTTCACCATAAAGTGTGGCTGTGTATGGCTATGTGTGAAAAATCTTCCCAGCCAGGGATTTTGTATCTATGGTCGATGACTGACATAATTTTCCTGAAGCCCCTTATTTCCACCGAAATAAACATCATGCCTTTACCATGGGCTTCTCTTTTGACACGGCTGGGTCAAGGGTGATACTTCAGGGACATGTTGGCTTATACATTCATGCCAACATGCAAACTTCATCTTGCTTCATCTTTTGACTCTCAGAATATTCTATCAACAGGAAGTACTTCAGATGATGGAAACAGATTGATGTGTTCCTGCTGCTAATTGGCACGACTCTACGGCACATTGTACAGCACGATGAAACCTGAAGTTTATAGAGGTCTGAACTACGTCGACACCGCCAAATTAATCTTTCCTCTCATCAATATTCTGTCTGCTTTCTCTTTGCTTGTGGAAGCTGGGGGCATTCCATTTTTGGCTAAAACGTACCACATTGGAGCTTAGCATAGCCTAGACCAACCACCTAGCACAACCTTCTAGTGCTGGGCACGGGTCTGTCGTGTACATCATTACTCAAGTAGCCAATGTGTTGTGGCCAGTGGCATTTTCTGATACGAGCGACATGGGCAACCGCCCACAGTGCGCCATCTTGGGTGGGCAGCATGAGCCCAGGGCGCCAAACAGACCAGGACTGCCTCTGGTTGCAACTCTTTCTGTTCAGCTTGAATTGGTTGTGGAATAAATCAGACATACTGTGATTCCTTTTGATTTTTATGTGCATTTCCAACCATAACCTGATAGTTCTGTAAATCTGGGATCTTTCTGTAATTGATTTATTTTGATATAAATATTTTATTTTTGAGATAGTAGGCTGTTCAATTGATTCTGAAAGGTAATTTCTAATCAGTGCACACAGAGTAAGGTTGAGTAGAAGCTATTTTTAACAGCACTAATATGCTCACTCGTGATAGGTGGTACTGGGGGATAAAGGTCAGTCAAGCTGAGTTCCATAATTTCCTCATCTTTCATAGAAAAAAAATATATATATTTTACACGTCGTCCTTTTAGAAACGGTGTCTGAGACAAATGTGGCAATTGTGTATTCAGACAGAAATAATAAATGTTGACTTAAGCCGCTTATCTGCCCATAAGTAAACAGCGTGCTCTGTTTAAACAGCTCACATAAAACAGGATGTGCTCCTTCACGCTGCATGTGTATGGTGGCTTAATGAAATGCTTCAAGTTCACATTGCTGGCCCTTCCATTAAAAGGAGACAGCAGAAAAAACAGGTGCTGTTAATGGACAGCTTTTAATATCCTCCAAAGCACTTCACTATAAATCTCTGACTAGCTACCAGCGCCTTCTCTCCTCACTGCAGGACAAACATGGAGGACATGTCAGAGCAGAGCGTTTACCTGGAAAAGTCATCAGGATGTCACAGTTTTGTGTGGGAACCATCTTTAACCAGGACTTGCGAGAGTTGATGTAATGTCTGGCCAGCAGAAGTCGTTTCCCAAACAGTTTATCTAAGAAAAAGAAAGAAAAGGATGAGTCTGACATGGAAGGATAAAGCACATAAAAACTGTGTGTGTGCTGATGAAAGACAACATGTACCAGACAGATGGTGGTATTTATCATTGTGACAATCATGACCACAGATGACTGGCTGTTTGTTAGTAACACTCTGCCACTCATCACTAGCTGCATTTCCATTGACCAATCTGACATTTCACGTGTTTCATTGAGGACGTGTTTTTTGCTTAAAAGTCTTTTCAGCTAGGATGAGAGGTTTATTGGTTGATGTTGCAAAACTGCAATGGAAACACTTTTTTCGCATCACACGAGTAACCAGATGTTACTACTGGCACAAACCATGAAGACGACGACAGGAAGTAGTTGGAGGACGACAGCACTGCATGCTTTTTAATGCCTTATCGCTTGAACAGACTTATTGACATGTCATTTTAGTTGCGTTTCATATTTAATGGAAACACCACAATTATGTGTTTTTTCTATATTAGCAGAATGCTGACAAAATTGTACACATATTTGTAATGGAAATGCAGCTACTGACGTTATTTCTTCTGAATATTTTATTTTTACTCCTTCCTTTTTTTCAATTTTCACTAAGACAAAATAGCAGAAATATCCCAGATAAGCATGATTCTGCTGCTGTGGTTGAATGACTGAGCAAATATTGTGTACCGACAACTAATTTGCAAACTGAGTGGCATGCAAACAGTCTCAAGCAAACTCTCTTTTCAAGTCTGACTCCAAAAAAAAAAAAACATCATTGGTGTTATTTTTAGTTTGCCTCACTGCTCATGTGGATTTTACTCTGACGTGGTGGTGGATGTTAGAAGACACAAAGTTTCAATACATAATTTGTAGCTTATCTGTCAGCTGAACCTTGCACAGGATTCCCAATACCAGTTAACTGTGGGTTGTTTGTCATGGATCATGTATTTGCAAACAGAACCGTGTGATATAGTTAATTAGTTTTGAAGTGTATCACAGAAATATATGTAAAAAAAAAGAAAAAAAAAAGCTGAAATCCCAAAATACGTGTGTGTGTGAACATGGTCAACAGCCATTCTTTCTGCCTGGTGGTTCTCAGTAGGTCACACTCTGCTTCCTGCTGAAGCAGTAGCTGCAGTGACTCCTAATTGTTCACTGAATTATAAGGTGACTCTCTCAGTGTTTGTGTGAGCTTGGATTTTTTATGATCAAACCCATCTCAGAAAGTTCTATCCATCCCAGCCTGAGCCGTCCGTGTGTAAGTCATGTCTAGATTCATTTAAAAAACAAATATTTTGGCTTTGTGAGATTTAAACTAAAAAGGTTAGGTAAACCTGCTTTTTAACATAAATAAATCAAGGAAGTCACAGTTCTGCATTGAAATTTGCTTCTCTAATATAAAACCTTGTTTAAATAGGCAATAAATATACAGCTTAATGAGAGAAGAATAGGGGCACCCAAAAATCAGCCCTGACTTCCTTTATTTTGGGAGACTGGTGATCGGCTGATAGTTGCATGTGAAGGCAATCTTATCCACCAATCTTTGATACCTCCATAAAGGTTTGAAAATCAATCAAAACCAATAGATCAAAACCAATAGCTACCCTTTCACCCCATTGCTATCTTATCAACTTTTTTTTGCAATATTTAGCAACTTTTCGGACAAAAAAATTGCTATCTGCCAACAGGTAAATCAGCAAGTCAGGTTTTTTAAATATTGGTGAACGGCCAGAAAATAGCAACCAGTGCACCCCTACAAAACAACTCTTTAGTTATCATTTAAAAACTTACAGCTATATGAAAAGGTCTAGGACCTGTGACAACAACTGTTTATGAAGTTCAAATCAAATAAGAATAATATTTGGGTTTAAGTGGCATCAGTGCTCATAAATGTTATGAAATATGAGCTGTTGTCTCCTGAAATATAGACACAGAACCGTCTTTGTTAGAATGGATCCATCAGAATCTTATGTCTTCTTATCTTATCATGGCACCAGTTCGTGTGTGGGATGTGTTAGGCAGTTAGTGAACATTTCATTCTCAAACTCTATGTGTTGGAAGCTGGAAAAATGGGCAGTAGTGTCCAGGTAGTGATTGTCAACCAGTGGAACAGGAAGAAAAAGGAAGGAATTGTAAGCTGCCATCCAAAAGACATCCTACTGCTGAAGAAGTTAGTGTTGCTTCTGCACAAGATGTATCAGAATAAACTGTGAATATGAGGCTTATTGTGTTGTAGTGTGAGGGCCTGCAGACCAGCTGACCCCTGGAAGAATCAACAATGGAGCTGTGAACCATGCAGCAATGGATGAAGGTGACCTGATCTGATGATTGATGTTTTTTTTTGCATCACCTGAATGGTTGGATGAGTGTGTCGCCGACCTGACACCAGGAAGCACAATGAGAAGGAGGAAAGCCAAGCCTATATAGTGTGATGCTTTGGTCAAACAGTGTGTTGCTTTGCTGTGAAACCTTGGGTCAATGTGGATGTTACTCTGACACCGACACATTGTCAGATACACTTGTTCTTGGAGGTGGTATTTCCTGATGGCTCTGGCCTGTTTCAACAGGATCATACTCCCTGGCACTAAGTGGTAATGCTTCAGGAATTGTTTGAAGATTGACTCCAAATTCCCCAGATCTTAGTCCAACAAAAACTTTTGGGGTGTGATGCATAAACAAGTTCAATTTATGAAGGCCCCATCTGACAATTCCCAGAACATAAAAGATGTGCCCCTAAGCACAGCTCCATCTGCATGGCTTCAGGGTTTTAGAGGAGTCCAGGTCGCAGCATGTCAGTGCTGGTTTGATGGAAAAAGGAAAAACAAAATGCTACTAAGCAAAATATTACCAACAATGCTGATAGTCTTATGTCTGATCAGTGTAAATGCTGTAAATTAGACTGTTGCCTTCTGATTTTGGTCAGTACTGATGTTTTTTTTAGATTTTGTTGGGTGAAGTAGCCTTAATTTAACAGCTGTGAGAGACAGGGAAGACATATGGCAAAGATCATCATGATGGGACTCAAACTTGTGACTAAGGCCAAAAAGGTTCATACATGTGTTTTGCCCCATACCAATATTTTTATGTCTGAAAAGTCGCTAAATATAGAAAGAAAATTATTAATTACAGAGGTAAAACCAGTAAGATCAGTTTCACATGTAAATATCGGCCAATCATCGATTTTCCAATAAAGAAAACTGAGGCTGGTTTATCAATGCACATGCACAGTTTCACATGTAAATATCGGCCAATCATCGATTTTCCAATAAAGAAAACTGAGGCTGGTTTATCAATGCACCTAGCCTGTATATTTGATCTAAACATGACTATTGATTGGATTAAATTGCAATGAAATTGATAAATCCAGAAAATAAAAGTCATATTTCATCCAAATATGACTGAATATAAAATTGACCTGTTTCTAACACACTTTAAAGTGATTGGTAAATTTGAGTGGTATAAATAGAACGAATTAAGTACAGTTGAATTATTAACATGAAATAAATTCTAAAAATGTAACACACTTTACTATCAATATGTATTATGTCGGCATTTGATTTTGAAAAGAAATGCACCAAACCAACAAAACCCTGAAACATAACAGCACACAAATCACTGTATAGGTTATAAAACCAGCAGCATTTTCAGTGACTCTAACTAATCAGATAACGACAGAGCAGGACTTCAGAATGCATCCTCATTGGACGGTTCTCCAGACAAAAAGAGCTGGAACATATTCTTCTTTTTTACCGTTTAACCAGTAATGCAGCAGCAGCATGACATGCCTCATGTTTCCTGAATGCACCTGTGGTTCCAGCAGGCCCGTCACAGGGAAACACGCAAAACCAAAAACCTTGGGCCAAGTCATCGCGGCGTCAGTGATGCTTCACAAAACCCGGGCACGCTGGCTTGTAAATCTTCATTTTCAATCACACGAAACACAAATACGTAGCTCCTGCTTGCTGTCAGCGGGGGAAAGGGTGGGGAACTCACCGAGCACCCCGGCGGTTTGCTGCTGCTGGTTGCTGGTCCTGTCCTGGTGCTCACTGGGCACCGTCCTCTCCGTCTTCTCCATCCTCTCCCCTGCCCCGTCTCTACCGTCGACGTCTGCGGCGCCGCTGCTGCCGTCTGTCGCAGAGTCGGCATCAGCGGTCGCCTGCGTATTGGTGCCCAAAAGCTCCATTGCGTGAAGGAAGACGGCCGTCAGAACCTGGAGGAGGCTGCTGTTAATACATGGCTGCTGGCAGTAGAAATGACAGCCTGGTGTGTGTAGCAGTCAGGGAGGAGAGGGAGGAGCACGAGGAACATAAATATGTCATGTAGCCGCACGTTCTGCGTACCAGTCGTGACTTCGTGACGACACAGACCGTGGACACAGCGCACGGGCTACAGGTTCATACAGAAAATGGGACATGTCTCTTCTAGGTAGGCGTAATTATTGCTCAAATCAATCTAGTCGGAATATGTCTGCATTATCCGTTTTTCAGTTAAAACACATATTCTGAATGCGTGTGATAAATCACCAAACCGTTAAATATAAAGCTGAAAACAAAAGTTTACATAAACCAAATAAAAATACGTTCTTTTCCCTCACTGTCTTAAGTTAAATCTTCTAAACTTCTCTTGTTTCAGGTCAGTTAGAGTTACCAAAATTATTTCTGTTTGTTAAATACCATAACAATGTTAAAAAGAATCTCAGATATTTATTTGCCAAAGTCTTTTAAATCAGAATTTTACATTTCCTCAGCATTTGGTAGCATTACCTTTGAAATGTATGACTTGTGTTGAGAAAATAAATTTAAAATAAGCTAGTTTTAAAACTTAACATGTCTTGATTCAAATGGCCTAATTGTGGTTTTGAAATTAGTCATGTATTCTGATTTTTTGACCTTTATGTTACCTGTAGTTACAGCAGATGGTTTGCTAGGATCGTTTGAACTGCCTTTTGTCTGTGTGGGAAAACAATACAGGAGAAGTTGTAGCTTTTCACACTCATCTGTGAAAAGCCGTAAACACGGCAGGGGTTTCTGGCTTGAGAGAGGGTCAGAGATAGCTCCTGGATTGGATGAGCAAACATACGCCTTGTTTGAATAAATTAAAGAAAAGAAGATAAAACTTTCTACACAGAAGTAACAAATCAGATTTGCTCTTGCAACTCTCCAAAGATGTCTTTGCACGTCTTTGCTTTTCTTTCTTTCCTTCTTTTCCAAGTCTGTCAGGTAAATGAATGTATGTCTCCGTTGTTCTGCAGTTTCTGGTGTAAGTTTATACATTGTCTTACATTGGATTAAACTCTGTAATTCTGTGACGTCAACACACATTGTTGTTTTCCTTGTGGCTACACGTGGCCCGCCGAGAGGACCTGGGATCTAGAGGAAGAGAGAGCCAGACTTTTTCCAAAGTTAACTATTTTAGAATTTCTTCCTTAACACTTGGGTCAAAGGTTTTGGGATTGCTTCCATAAGCTTCTCTCAATAGTTTGCTGGAATTCTGACCCACCCTTCTGCCTCCTTCCAAAGAATTCTGAGATGAAAGTCAGAATTCTTTATCTTCAGTGGCTCTAGTCGTCTTCTGTATCCACCAGACCAATCAGACCCTGATTCTGATGTTTTAAAACAGAGAGGAACCACGTTACAAAGAGCTACTCTCCTCAGAGACTTTCATCTTGGGAGAGATGATCACAATGTCACAGTGAACATGGATGTCAAAAACCTCTGCCAGAGATGTCTTTTCACTGTTTCATGAAATATACATTTCGTATAAACAATTATGTCCATAGTAAAACCACATGTCACTGTAAAATAAAGAGCTGCTTATCATTATCATTAAAGTATGAAAAACAGATAGAATTTCACAAGTTATTTGGTTGCCTTCCAATGATGAAGCACTGTGCACATACCAACATTTTTATGTTTTCAAAACCAGACATTTTGAGGTGACAAATTTGCATAATTTTTTTTAAAAGTAAAGTCCACTTATTGCGTTTTAAAGTGTGGGCTTTTGCTGTGTTGAGGCCTAAATTAAAGAATGACATCATGCTACACATTGAACAGGCCTCTTCATTGGCTGTTTTTAAAACTTCTCATAAGACCCACTTAATCACTTTGTCTTTTGCAACCTCTTAAAAGTTGATATCATGGTTGTTCCCAATTTATTTTAAATGTGTATTTTTATGCAGGAACTTCTTCACACAGGAATGCTGAACGAGAGGGCTTATGTTTCACCTGTAATCCCTCCATTAGTGCTGCTCACAACTGGACTCAGTGGTTCACATATTTATTGAGAAACATGAGGACCTTCTCAGACTGTATCTGTTTTTCAGAAGCAATTGGCTTCTGTTTTTCAGACTAGTTTGTGTAAACAGGGACAGAGCATTACACATATAAAACAAAGAAACATTTGCTTTGTCTGTAACACTTTATTTGAAGGGGTGTGCATAAGACTGACATGACACTGTCATAAACATGACATAACACCTGACATGAACATAAACAAGTCTTTATGAATGTTTATGACAGTTGTCATGAAGTGTCATTCGGTAAATAATGACACTTTTAATGCAAAGTTGCTCTAAAAGTTGCATTAAAAGTCCATTAAAAATGCCAACTTTGCATGATTTTGTAAATAATGACAATTTAATGCAAAGTTGGCATTTTTAATGGTTTTCAATGCAACTTTTAGAGCAACTTTGCATTAAAAGTGTCATTATTTACCGAATGACCCTTCATGACAACTGTCATAAACATTCATAAAGACTTCTTTATGTTTATGACAGTGTCATGTAACTCTTATGTACACCCCTTCAAATAAAGTGTTACCACTCTGTCCATTCCTCTAATCAACTGACAATTTCTAGACCCAGCTGCAGGTTGGACTTAAAAAAATTCTAGGACCTACATAAAACACCAATAAATCAGCGTCTAATCAATCAAGCAAAAGTAAACATTCACAAACATTAAAATTTAATTTGAATGTTTGTGATTGCTGATCAAAAGTCAAAAAGGTAAAAGCTAAGTTACAGACTGGAAGTATAAAGATGGGGATGTGAGGACAAAGTCTGGGTCGGACTTGTGCATGGAATGGTTGGCAGATGGTTGTACTATCAGAGATGAGAAAAAGTAACAGATAGTTGGTTTATGGATTACATGGAAGAATGAACTGCGAGGAGAGTGTGGCAGGCAAGAATATTGGGAATAGATAAAGATGGGAGCAGGACAGATTAAAAGCTGGTGTGGATCTTAAAGAGCCTCAAAAACCTACTGCATTTCTGATTGATTAAGAAATGGTCAGAGATTGTGTACACACAAAAAAACTTGTGTGCCATTTTCGACATAAACTTCAACATGGCTAAATAATCAACTAACCGTTGAAATGTTCAACCTTATGGCAGATCCATGGCCTCCATAGGTACATTTCTTGTTATTGGCTACTTGGTGACTCATTGAAGTTAAAACTTCTGCAAAATTGTTGATTGTGAACAGAAAGTGTTTTCATCCAATCTGTACACAATGGAATTCATTTCACTTTAGCAGACCTCAACAGAAATGTAAATGATAATGAAACAATGTTTTAGTTACACTGTAAGAATAAATAAATAAATAAATAAATAAATAAATAAATAAATAAATAAATAAATAAATAAATAAAAACATTTCTAATTTACAGGAAAATACCAGCAGTTGTGGTTGTCAGAATTTGACCGTATAAATAAATATGGTCAATAAATAAAATAAATTCTGTAAATTAAAGACATTTTTTTTCTTTTACAGTGTATCTGAACATTATAGGCATAGCTGATGATACCATAAGCCTCTTCAACATCTGGTCCTTTAAAGGCAGCACAGAATGTCTGTAATTATCGTATTCACATTGTTAATGCACTTTAATCATGCACTGCGTCCTGTGAACTGGTCATGTAAAGGCACATGACCTGTTCACAGGACGGTCATGTATGTATACATGTCACATGCATCTAAAATGTGAAAATAAACTACAATGAAACATTTCTCCACATTATTTCCATCATGTTGTTGAAAAGCCACTGTTATAGCAACATACAGCTATGGCCACTAGATGGCAGGGGTGAGTGGTTTATTTCTTAATTCTTTCAGGAAAACTTGATAGCGTCTCAACCACATTATTAAGGCACACTGGTTTCATTCCTGCTAAAGTCAAGCAGCTCGTCACACCAGCAAAATTACCTCCACAAAATGACCATATATGAGGAAACTGCAACCTGTCAAAGTGGTCCAGAGAGCCAACACAGAGCTATGGTGCTGGATAAATCTGATTATACTGGAAACCCTGATCCCTGATTCAGAAAAAGACATACGTCAGAGCACAAACAATACTGTGTGTCTGAGGTCAAAGTGCATGACAAGTTTCAATTCTTCCTAAAAAGACAAACAAGTACAAAGAAGACAGTAAAAGTCAAAGAAGGGAGTTTCACATTATACAATAGACTAATTCATGCGTAAGACAATTGTGAGAGCTTATCAGAAGGAAAAGTAAAATAGATGATTTTAAATAATTCCATATCAAAAAACTGGTGAGTGAGTTTCGACCTCTCACAAATAATATTTTATTATCTGTACAGGAAACTGCTGTAGATATGATTTTCCAATAGGACATTATCAATTTGTGGGAGTTATGATGAGGAAAACACCAGAAGCTTTCAGTTCACTTCTCTCTAAAGACAATGATTTTTTTATATACATTTTTCTTCTTCTGGAGAACAAGAAGAAAAAATCTTGCATAAAACCAATTCTTTCTCCATAGATATTAAATATTTTTTTATTGCTGTGTAAAGTACATTAACTTTCAATATAAATAACAAACATCATTCTAATTGTTTACACTGGTATGTAGGATCTCATATTTTTTGTCTTTTAAAGTGTTTTGAATTTATTTGCAGCTGAGCATTTTTTCAACTTCTTGTCCACATTGAATTCTGAAATTCACATTAATTTTAAAGTAGTACCAAACTTCCTTGTGTTATTCCTATCACTTGATCTTAAGACAAAGAACTTTTGTTAGTTAATTGGCAACAACCTCTTTCTAGCTTCAAATATAACAAATAGAATTTTGAAATCCTATCTAAGGAATCTTGTTCCTTAGTTTCAAGATTTTTATTGAATAAACAATTTGCATGTTCTTTAACACTCACTTTATATAAAGGTTTCGTTTGCATTACGAACAAATGCTTAATGTTGGTTTAATAACCAACAACACATTTATAAAAAAATAAAACATTGTGTTTTGGATGGATTCTAGAGCAGTCTGTGAAATACAAGAATCTTTGTGAATAGCTATCTAAAGTCTTTTTTATTATTATTTTTATTGACGCTACATCAGCCTCTGTCTTCAGCAATGTTTTCATGCTAATCTTGTTGGACCAAAGGGCTCGCCTCCAGGATGGATGGTTTTTTTACTCACACTTCTGTCTGGTTGGAAAGTTTTCTTGTTTTTCTGCAGCCTTGCAGTTCATTCCTGCAGATCTCCAATTCCCCACCTGGCTAACTCATTCATTAGCATCTTGGCAGTTGTTCTGTGGCCTTTTGATACTTTTCTCTCTAGTTTTATATCTAGGGTCTTCAGATCTCTGCCAGGTTTACTTTGTAACAGGTCTCCATGGTGCTGCTTGATGATCCTTCTGATTCCAGTAAGAACAGCTTGACATCTTTGTTTTGTTTCGTTTTTGACTTGAGTCTTTCGAAGCCAACGCCTCCAAACATAACAAAGTTCCTACACTTCGTGTTCATTAGAAGAAAATCATGTGTTTTGAGTAGATTTATCAAGCCTGGAGCTTCACAAAGTCAAGTGTTGTCATTGAATAACATTTGTTTGTGCTGCTGCTCAACAAAAATATCAGATTTGATATTTTTGGGCAATCGTTTCAACATTTTTCAATACATATATAATTCAGTAATTCAAACCCATGACCTTTTCATAAGGGGAATGAAAACATTTGTGTCCATATTTCACAACTTGAACTCAGGGTGAAGCAGCTGATACGTCCACTCTGTAAAATAGAGTGGACGTATCAGGTTAATGGTTAAGGTTAATGATATAAATACCGTCGCTTTTCCTCTTGTAGACGTATTGCTCCATCTAGAAGTCGAGGTTCATGCCTCCCAGGCATGAACAAATTCATAATTTGTATTTTTGAATGATGAACCTAAAATGTTGTTTTAACAATTCATAAGCAACTCAAAAGCTGCTTCCCTAATGTCTTTCCTGATGTGCTTCCTCATTGTTACAAACCAGCAACCTGTCCAAGTGTCTGCATTTATAGAAGTGATCACACCTACTAAGAATCATTGATGCATTTAATTCCCAGGACCTGATTAGTCTGATTATACTGATGCTGTGATTTGTTGAACATTCAGAACATTTTTCTGTGCAAAACCTCCAGTGAATAACTCCTGTTGGTGTATCATTAACATCTGGAAGGGTTGCTGTAGTTTGTTAGGATGACCTAATGATGTTAGTTGAAGTTTCAGCTTCTTGGCTAAAAGAAGCTGAAACTATGAAAATCAGATGTCTTTTGAAGCAGCTAATTTGCTCTTTGTTTTTCTCTTTGAGAACAGCTTCATCTGTAGAGGTCATGGTGGAGGTCACGGTTACTCTCAGCCCCGCCCATCCACAGCTTGTCCATCGTTAGTGGTCTCCAGGACTATCTTCCACCCTCATCTATTGGACTGGACATCGGCATGATTGTGAGAGTCCCAGCAGAGAGGAAATGCAATTATGAGTCCAAATAACATGTGAACATTCGGAGCCTCTGAAAAAGAGGCAGCAGTCCTTCAACCCCAGATTAGGAAGGAGGTCGTAATCATAACCATCCGTTCAATATCCTGCCAAAGGAAGAGGAGGGTGGCAGCCAGGCAGACTGCTGCACAATAGACCCGACTCTTCATCAGTGCCTTGGGCTCAACATCTCCAAATCCTTCAGAAGACCATTTACTCTTACAGAAACCCACACTGGTTACCCCCATAAAGAGACTGCCACTTTAAGACAAAGAAAAACTAATTCCTAATACTGAATAATTGTGATTCAGGCCATTTGGTGCCGTTATCTATAATCTAAAATCAATCATATTCAGAAGCTGTTTTCTAGGGGCTGCAACTAACAATTATTTTAGTAATCAATTAATCTACTGACGATTAATCAATTTAATTGAATAAAGGAAATCGGCACATTCTGCAGATTCTTCAATAAAACTTTACAATATCAGAAATGCATTAAATATGCAAATACAATTCCTTTCTTAAATAAGAAAATAAACATTTTATTGCCTAAAAATATCTTTAGTGAATGCTTGTCTTTAGTGGTCATTTGTACCAAAGAATGCATCTGCAGCTATAAATCCTCCTTTTTTTCATTTTTTAATTAATACATTCTTCCAGTATCAACATGTGAACAGTTCAGCTCTTTCTGAATGACTTAACAGCAGTATGGCTGATCTGGTCATCAGTTTTGGTTTTACCAATTCAAAATTGGACAAGAGAAGCTCCAACATAATTGGAGATTATGTTTTTTTTTTTTTTTACAGAATTTGATGAAGTTAAATTACGCCTCTTAATGAGCTCTAAGTAGAACTTAGTGATAAAGTTTTTTTTTCTGTTAAAAGCAAAATGTACACACTTTTGAACAGTTTAGGTTTGATTGCTGCTCTCAGTGTGTTGTTTTTTCAGCAAATGGCCTTTTTGTTGTATGTTTACTCCAGCTAACAATGAATCGATTACTAAATTACTTGACGATTATGTCAGTACTCGATTAATCAAGATTAATCCGATGAATCATTTCAGCCCTTATGTTTTCCTTATTTTTTCTTGATTCATAGGTTGCATTATTACTAGTTTGTAAACATAACTAAAAATTTAACTCAAACTGATAAGTTAGCATTTATGTACTTCTTTCACTTATTGTTCCCTGCTGGATTAAAACAATAATTACTCATAATCCTTGCTGTTCATCCACAGAGAATGCTGACATGTGAGGAGCTGTCTGGGATCCTGAGATAAGCCGACAGGAAGTATGCTTACTCAGATGAACATCATGGTGACAGTGGAAATTATCTGAATACATGTTTTATCTGAGTCTTTAATAAGATGACTCCCAAAGCATCCACCCAGTTGACCTTTATTATCCTCACAGCTACTCCTCCAACGAGCTGCACATCCCAAATGTGGAAAAAACTGTTTCTTCTAAACAAAGGATATCCTTTGGACAGGGCAGAGCTGTCCTCATACGGACGGACAACTATAGAAATGGGCTTTGGTGCAACCAACATGTTTATCTGTTCATCTACCTCCTTTTTTTAATCCAAAGGTTATGGGCTTGTGAAGTCATCATAATTAGGGTTGATAGAATTATGTCCTCAAAATTTAAAAAAAAAAAAAACTCCCTCATATTTCATGTGAAGACCACACAAAACATGACAATCAAATATTGAATGAGTAAAATATGACAAATGTCAGCTGCCTTTCATTTCTGAATAACCTGGGAGACGTTTAGTGCCTCCATCTGGGCGATAGGAACCAGATCTTTAGGCAGAGAAGAACTGTGGAGCTGTTTTTGGAGCCTGCACGTACGCGACACTGTGAGCAAAGGTTCCCCTCATCCGTCTGCCTCTGTCTGCTGACAGGTTGGCAGGTAAACATAAACACAGTGGAAGGATTAAACCTCGCTGCCAGTAACCGTGGCAGCAGGGGCCACGGAGTCACTTCGCAGACAATTAGCTACACAATAGGTGACGCAAAAAGGGACAAACAGTGATTTCCAGGTCTGAGTGGGGTAATAGTTTAAATAGCTTTGTTTACAAAGGCATGCTTTTGTTCTGACAGACAGATAGACATCTGGAGGCTCAGGTGCTCGGGTGGGGAAAGGGCAGCCACCGGTTTGCTGTTAAAGACACGACCTAAATGGGATGTATGTATAAATATTTCAAATTAATAGCCATATGAGGTCTGAAGCAAAAGTTTAATAATGTTCAACACTTGGTTGGTTTTGTTTCTTTAACAATGTAATTGGAAATACTAGAAAAGAGTGCAGAATACTGACATTTTGTCAAGTAAAAGTACAAAAATATGGGCCAGTGGTGAGCGTGGCTTTTAGATCCAGAAATGCTTCCTTGTTCAGAGCACACTGTTAAAAAAACAGAGCATTTTAGTTTTGTCCACAGGTGCTCTAGGTGCACATCCCTGCCATCAAATAGTTTATTTTCATATATTTACAAAAAAAAAATGCTGAGAATGACATGTTGAATATGTGTGACACAATTTTCAGGGTAAAAGAGCTAAGCAGCTTTCAAATAAATTTCAGTAGATGAATATTAAAGACATAACTGGGGAACTATGTATTGTACATTATATTTTTTTTATATTCACACAGTGCCTTGCAAAAGTGTTCATATGTCTTGAGGTTTTCAACACAGTTCTATGAGAGATATCCACAAAAATTAAAGGATAACTGTGAAATAAAGGGGAATGTTACATGGTTTTCAAAATGAAATCGTTAACAAATAGAAATCTGAGAAATGTGGTGTGCAGTGCATTCTGCCCCCTTTACGAGGATGACCTTAAATAAACTGAAATCAATTGCTTTCAAAAGCGCTTTAACTAGTAAATGGACTGCAGAATGGGATGAAGGCTTGCATATCGCATCATATTAAAGAAACAGTTACATGATGAAGGTGCTTGTTGCTGTTTTCTTATACAGCGAATCGGGACTTTGACTGGATGCTAGTTAAAATGACAGGGTTTTATCCCTTTACTTAAAGGTTTCTCATTATAATGTTGAAAATCTGCACAAAAAAAAAAGAAATAAAAAGCATCTACATATTTTTTGTTTAACTTATCTGCCACTGCACCCAAGCACCTAAACTCCAAAAGCAAAGAAAGAAAAATTAAGCATTCTTTGCTCATTTGCGCCCATTTAAACCACAGATGTTCAACCATACAGAATCTGTTTTAATTAGAGGAACTGCCGATAATTTCAGTGACAAGAAGTGAAGAAACTGACAGTGATAAACCCAAAAAGATGGGTATGCCTGTAATGGCAGAGAAAGATGGTGCATCGCTCCAAAGGGGATAAATACTAAATTAATTCATGTTTTCAGATTTTCATTTGGAGAACAAATTAAAAACCATGCATCATTTTCCTTCCGCTCCAAAACAATCTCAACTTTGTGTTGCTCTATCACATGACGTCCCAACAAAATATAAAATACATGGAAGTTTGTGATTATTACATGACTAAAAATGTGGGAAATATTAAAAAAAAGCATTTTGCTAGTCATTGTACATGAGCTCAAAATGAGAAACCTGCATAATCCCTGTTGTAAATTCCTTCCACGAGCTTTCGCATCTAAATATTTACTTCATCTCCACGTGTATTTCCTTTGGTTTAACCCAACATTCTGGATAGATCTTGTTTCTCCCTGAGAGGAAAACACAAAGAGAAAAAGTGAATTAGTGGTTGTTATTGTTGATGATGTGAGGAGGAAGAGGGTCAGGCTCTCATGCTAACATGCCTGGTCCATCTTCACAAAGTTGGTGACACTGTACCGTCTCATGTTTATTTAAAGAATACACTGTATATTTTATTTATGATTTGTTTTCCTTTCTTTTTTTTTTTACACTCACAATATTCTCCAAAAGCCCTTAAATAAATAATGAAAAAGTCAGCAGCAAAATTCAGTTAAATTTGCCCCCTTTGTGACAGAATGCTGATACTCACTGTGGGGCAGGGGGGTTGACAAAGCGCTGCAGGTCCTGAATGTGCTTGGCAATGACTAATGGTCAAACAGAGAAAGAAAAATGATGTGTCATTATCATTAAACATAAATGCTCCAGGTTGTTATGAGCATTGTGATGTTAAAGTGTGAATAGAACATGTTGTAAATCATCTGTGTATTCCAAATAGTAATGGTTTTGAAGGGACCAATGGTATTATTTATAATTTGGACTTAATTGATACAAGGAAGGGTTATGGAAAGAGGGGAGTTCATCCTTATTTACATGTAGATTCTGTCTCAGGAAGTCAGAGCCGGGTTTAAAGCTACTGCAAAAATAAAATGAGATGGGATGAATTTCTGATTACACCCAGTTTAAGAACCCGAGAAGGTTGGGTTAAAAATCAGAATGTGACTGTGAAGACTGTTGCCATGGAGACCATCAGAGGAACTGTTCTTCTGAACATCCAAAATGTTTACATATAAAATACTCCTGAAAATGGATCACAAAATGAACAGATATAACCAAAACATAACATTTTGGGGGGGTTGGTCTTACCTGAACCACCCGCCTGTCCGCTTGTTCTTCCTCCACCAAACACAGACCCGGTTCCAACATTCCCACTTCCAGTAGGTGGTTTCCCTGGCACACTTCCTGTCTTACTTTGCCCTGAGTTGCTGCTCCCAAGACCAAAATCAATCCAAGGTAAAGATGGTGATGAACTGACTTTACCAGCTGAACTGCCAGAGCCACTCGACACAGATGACGATGCCAACCCGTAGCCTGCTGAGCTTTTCCCCCCTGAAGCTGGACTGTTTAAACCCGTCCCAGCCGAACCTTGGTTTAGTCTGGATCCCAAAGGCCCAACTGACGACCCAAAGGATGGCAGGTTTCTCCCACTCTCTGCTGGTTTGTCTGGTTGTGTCCCGCTTGAGCCAAGAGTTGACCCAAACGATCCCGGGCCTGAGGGTCTGTTAATTCCTGAACCAACGCTCATGCTTGGATTTAACCTGGGTTGCTGGAGGGTTGAACTTATTAAGCCTGTTCCAGCTGATCCCTGCTGATTAAATGTTGACCCAGTGTTACTGAGGCTTGATCTTGAACCATAGGATAAGAAGGTTGAACTTGCTGAGCTTGCTCCTGTGGATCCAGCCCTATTGAGTCCTGACCCAGCACTACTCTGGCTTGAACTTGACCCAGCTGTTCCTGTTCTACTTTGACCTAAACTGGAAGAACTGGAAAGGGAATAGCTGGAACCACCACCGTCTGTCAAGCCAGTTCCGAATAGGTTCTGTATGGTCGACGGTGAGCCCGGGCCTCCTCCTAGGTATCCACCAAATGCATTCTGAAATAAAAAGACAGCA